TTGCACGCTTTGAAAAGTCCCCTGCCCTCCTCTGACTTTCCTTTCCCTTGATCCAACCTGATTTTTCGTTGCAAATTGCAGCGATCTCCTTTTTTCCTCCCTTTAGATGAAAGGATACAGCAAATACATCTGGATCTGGTTTGGTAGGCCTTCTGGAGGAATTGCTGCTCAATGGTTGGGTCATCGTTACCGCAGACGAAACTATAAGATTCGGCTAAGGATTTAAGCCTGAACCTTATCCTCGCTCCGGGAAGCCTATACCAACTGTATAGCTTCGTTTCCTGATTGTATTGAACTATCTGGCAAGGGATTCCACGACGTGCTGTGGTAATGCACATCTTGCTTGAAATCTGAGAGATGCATCCGCCGGTATGATCAGTCACTTGACAGTAGAAACATTTCCAACTTTTGAAGTGTCTTTCGAGGTAAGATTGCTTTGATTGTTCGTCTAGGGGGTCCCATTTGGTTTTCCACTCATTTAGGTATCGATTATAATGATCTGCGCTGGTAGTACTTGGTTTATTACGACGTAGTTTGAAAGCGGAGATTGTGTTATCAGCTATAGTTGGGATTGTGTCTTCATCGGACAATTGAGCAGAATCTCCAGTCTTTGATTTTGAACCGCATTTTGGTGAATTTGCGCCATAGCCACGGGGACGTACTTCACGCAAGCGTGCTGAATCAGGGATCTCCAAATGGCATCCATGGTGTAATTTTCCGTTCTCGACGATTGATTTGTTGTAAGATTGCATCGATGGAGATTGATTAGTATCACAGTAATTTGTTTCTAAAGTGTGTTTCATGTCACTCTCGACAAGAGTTGAGCTACACTCCTCAGGATCACTTGAATATCCCCAGTGTGCAACATCTTGCATTGAGCAACTGTCGTTATCAGAGTCACTATCATCATTGGAGCAACTATTGCTTCCATCGGTCTCACTAAAATCACTCCTGTCTGACACTTCACCCAGACTATGAGGAGGATATTCACAATTGAGTTTCGCCGTGCTCTTCAGAAAGAGTGGTTGTTGTTGAAGGTTGAATTCATTAGGATGATTTTCTACCAGGGCCTTTTCTTCTGATAATATGATTACTTCATCACCACATTGGCCATAACACGGATAAGTACTTCCTAGAGACTCCAGCTCCGGCTGTGTCTGATGCATTGGCGACGAATCATGGAGAGGGTTATTAAGGTTTTTAGTATAGTTACTAGATTCCACCTCCCCTGTATGTACTAATCGGTTGTATAAAAGTCAGTCTATGGGTATAAGCATCATAAGTTCTCAGATATTACAGACATCTTGACTTCATTCCCAGGCCTTCAAACGGTATTAATTCACTAGATATCTCCGGTATTCCACACGGTGAGGAGAGTATATTGTTCCCATTTATCTGGATGTTGGGGATATGCACTTTATATCCTGCTACATGTTAGCTTGACCATTTCAACGCTGATTATCACCACAAAAACAGCCACTATTGTGTATCTGCTTGTATTCCTAATCTAACCAGTACATACCAGCATCCTACCTCTGATTTAGAGTTAGGTGCTTAGTCGGTGCTAGTCAATTGATGTTCAAGGGGAGATTAATATAATACCTGTCTCGGTATCAATTAGGTCGGCCAGCTCTACAAGTGCCTTCCCATATCCTCTTATACTTTTCTGGATTTCTTGTTTCAAATTGGCGTTGCCTGGTGTATTGGTTCCAGAGCTGTCTTGTTTATTGATTTGGGATCTCGCATTCTCGATGCCCCACATAAATTCTAGATTGAGCCGGGAAATTCTTGTGATGACATCTTGAAGGTTATCATGACCAGAGACAGCTTCTCTGTGTGGATTGCGTGGACTCATCTTCAACTACCGTTCTAAAAGCTAACAACCAAAGATAGGTTAGTTTCATCACCGAGGATATCAGTGTCAGGAGAGGCATAAGTTGACATGTGGGGGCTTACTTTCTGGAGAGAACTATCCCGTTCTCTATAACGATAAGCCTTAAAGTTGATGAGAATAATAAGCTCCGCGTTGAGGCGTGGGAGCCTGGATAGGATAATAAGTTAGACTGTGTTTAGACGCTGTATATAAGTAGGATGTATCAAAAAAAAATTGGTTGAAGATCCGGGTTGGTGGGGAAGAGGGGGGAGGAGGGAGGGGGATGCAAGAACTGTCGGAAGTACTATCAAATATCTCGGGGGATAAAAGTAGTGTAGAATGGCTGACTTGGAGTGATGGAAGATGATGAGACGATAAAGGAAAGATATCACATACTTTAGGGATGATGAAAGTCTCGTGCTTAGAGTGTATAGATATACTTCACAAGAAGCTGGGAGTTAGTGAACGGGACTCGGATGATAGTACAAAAGTTGATGTTTTCGTGGGTTGTTGATAAATGTCGAGGGTTGTTGATAAATTGAAGAGATGGTTGAGGATGGTTTAAAAGAAGAGTGGGAGAGGACTGCTGAATTTATGGGCACTTTGGAGGGGCTAGTTGGGGGCTCCACCTGTTAAGAACACCTAGCGTGTTGAAGGATGCGAGATGCAATTTTGCACCACACACTACACGTACTTTTTTTTCTTGTAGTTACAACCACCCGGTATACGTTTCCAGATGGAAATGGGAGCACCGCTAATTCTCGATGGATCCACCATCTCCGCTTTGGTACACGTAGGTGTAAGTCCTTTTCTAAAGAGAACTGGTGGAATCTCATGCTACGCCTTTTTTCTACCGGCTCGGACATACCATTAATGTAGTAGAGAGTGGATTTCTCGAGGATTAACTCGATTTCCGCTGACTTGTGTATGTATTGTATGTAATCACGGTCAGTCACTCGCCATCTTCTCGTGGAAATGGCCCGCTGTGTCATCACAATGAACCATGCAATATCCCCGTATCATTAAAGCAGGTTGATTGGCTATCAGAAGAACCTACCTGCCAGTGGCTTAACGGTAGCAGAAGATTGAGATCTGAAAATTAGAACACCTATGTGTACCTTTAGACGGGAGAGATCAATTAAGCACGAACATAAAAATTTTTCCATCTAGTTCGAGACACCGACAAATACATGTACGCAGTGGCGATAAGCTTAATTAGTATGTAATCAGATCTTTTTGGCCCACTCAAAAGTGGTGTTCTTGCCCCACCAAATAAAAGCGTAAAAACATGGGGCTTCACTTCCAACCACCACTAATCGACCCCACCAACAACAACATTCACTCAGATCACCTATCAATCGACCACTTTCGCGACACAACAAGTATGCCATCCTCTGAAATCATGTTTTCAACAAAAGATGACCCTGGAGACTCCGATAACTGCCTCGTTGTTTCTGACATAGAGGATAGCCAGAATGTTATCCTCTCTCTTCGACCAGCCGTCTTCGACAACAAGCAACCCACATTAAAGAGGTCCCACCCGGCCGCAACCCGTGATGATCCGGCGAAAAAATATCGCCGTCTCGAAAGCCTCTCCGGGTCCGCTATTTGCGAGAAGCAAAACATCTTCCCCAATTCTACCTCCAGGGATTTCTCGCGCATTTCTCCTGCCACCTCGAAGCGACTAGTTACCTTACCAAACGCACCATTACCACCACAGAAAAAGCCAAGGGCGTTCTACACCGAACAACAGCTCGAATGGCTCACCGACTACTGCTTTACCATGCCTGATAGCACTACAAAATCTTGGAACATAGCCTCTGGTGATTTCGAATCCACCTGGGGGCAAGCTCATACCGGCAAGGTCCTAAGAGCAAAGGTCATAAGGATGGGCTTGGGGATACTTTTTGAGAGATCAAATGGAGGACTTCCAGCGGTAGAGATGAATATCGATGAATTGAGCGATACAGAAGCTGCCACCGCCCCCTCACCCAAAACTCCGGTTGCTCAGGAAACTGCGGGGGCCTATCAAGTCACTCCGCCCGTCAGTCCACAGGGTGCCCGCAACAGAGAATTATGGCTCAAAGATAATATCCACAAATTTCAGAAAAGCAAGTCTGAGATTGACTGGGAGTCGTTGGTTAATCTCTTCAACGACATTTTCGATATGAAGAAATCTACGACAGCATTGGAGGTAATGTGGGAGAGGGCCATTAATAAGAACTGTGGGTTGATACGTTCTTTTGAAGGGTGGGGTTGTCAGAGCAGGTAATGGCAGGGGTGTAATTTACAAAAATGTTGGTGACGAAAAGATTGTTCATGTACTCATTAGTGAGGAATACGAGTATCCCATGATATTGTTAGCTTGAAAATATCCTAAATTATACGTATTATCATAGGTCAAGGAGGAGGTCTTGTCTCGTCAGAGTCTCGCGGCTTTTCATAATGCAACCATGTAGCCTTGAGGCTGGGAAATCTCTGTGACCATACTAATTTATGCTCAGTCTTTTTAAAACTCTGGCTGAAGAGTATATTCAGTCTGGAAAAAGGTCAAAGAGGCCTCGAGGCCTCCAGACCTGGTCTTGTCCTGTATTGTCCTATCTTCCCAGTCCCCAGGTCCCAATACAACTCGTCTCGTATCTATCTATCACTACAGGAAAAGTAAGTTGAGCTCGAGTCAAAGAACAATTTTAGCTAATCAAATTTTGCCAGGCCCAAGTTCTGATATAGAGAGTGATTGCGAAATTTTACAACCTCACCGACCTATCCTCAAGATTCTTAAACAAATATAGTCTCTTCTTATCTTAGGACTTGATTATGAACGATGTTGTTTTTAGAGTTTCTAGGATTTTGTATTGTCGAGTGATCTATCATGAAGGAAAAACTTGACAGCTAGGACTGCGTAAGATGACGTAAGCAGGTTTTTCACCCTGTTTTTTTCACCCTTTTTCTTTTTCTTTACAATTCTTTTCAATTGTTGAGCATAATTTTGAATCATCAAGCATATATTATATAGTTATTTAATTTCTTGGCCTAACTATCTTCGAGTGATATCATATGATTTCATTCCTTCACACTCCCCATTGGGTAAACAACACTAAAACTCAACATTGATCCACTCAATTCATTAAATCCTCACATTATACTCAGCCTCCGTACTCGTCTGACCATTCACTATCATCTCAAATACACCCACACCATGGCACCCGACCGCCGTCCCCACCCCAACAGCCGCAGCACCAACACTCAGCATCCTCTCCCATGCACCCCTATCCGCGACCCCCCCAACCCCAATGACCGAAATATCCTTCAGTTCCTCCTCCACATTAAGCAGCTTCCTAATGGTAGCTACATTCCCCAAGCTCAACCAGTGAATACACGATCCCCCGAGACCGCCAACCCCAGTCCCCGATTCCGACGACAGCGTCGGCTGATACACCGTCCGTCTCCCCACAGCCAACGACGGCGGTGACGACAAGTGCAGCGAGGATCCAAGCGTGTTCGTACTTGTTATAAACGATACTGCCTCTGGGTACTGCTTCAACGCATCGATAAGCACACGGTACTGATCATCGTGGGTGTACGGTGGGGTCTTTAGTCCAATCTGGATTGGCACAGCGAGAGTAAGGGTAGAAAGCGCCTGAAGGTACGATTGCAGTCCAGCGAGGTTGTAGGCAGGTGGAGGCTTGCCTGCTATGTTAGGGCAGGAAAGGTTTATCTCCACCAGAAGCTCGTATGAGTTTTCCTTCGCAAATGCTGCAATTTTGGTCACTGCATTCTGTATCTCTGTGGGGTCACCCGTGATTGAGACAATGAACGGTTTCGATTGCGGGGCTTTGGAAGCTGTGATTATGTTCTTGATGGATGTCAGGTAGTATTCAAGCGGGTGCGGAGAGTATCCATAAGTATTTAGGGATGTGTTGGCAACTTTGGCATCCGTGGTTGAGAACAGAACGGCCTGGTGGATAGATTTATTCTCGAGGAAGCCTTGGACGAGGAGCGAGGTCCGAGTAGTGACGGCACCCGTGTGTGGCGAGTGGTACAGTGCTGCTAGATCTTCTTCGGAGCTGGCCCATGGGGTTGCGGAATTGAACAGAGGAGGAGTGAAACTGAGCTGGGGTCTTTGGGGTTTTGCCGCCATCGCGAGGGAGGGGTTACAGGTGTGGTGTGATGAGCGATGAGCGATGAGGGATATGCAGTCGAAGTAGGTACAGTAGTACAGGTGCTATATGGGTGTTATGTTGCTATAGCTCAGTAGGCATATCCAGACAGCCTGCATTTACTCCGGAGACGAGGTGGATGGATGGGATGGAATTTGATGGGGAAACGGAAATAAACGGTGTTTATTTACATAAAGCATCGTAGGTACATTTTCTGCATCTGATACCAGCTGTAGGAAGAGCTAGTAGGTACTGTACCCTGTACCCGTGGTAATGGACACTGCCTACATACATCATCACTTCGTACGCCATGTCGATGCTAGGGAAAGCTGGGAGATATCGCTATGGAGCTGCTCATCGGGATTCGATAGTGATAATTGGTTCAAAAGCGATGCTATCTATCAGACATTGCTATCGGGATTTCACGAAGCTTGCTTGGGTGGTGTTTCAACGCGGTACATTTTTGGCGGGATATATGAGATGAGGACAGAGAGGTGGGGGGATGATGTGACGATGTGACACGAAGAGTGACGGATGGGTGTGTGGAGGGGGGAGGTGGGAGGGGGAGGGTAAGTAGAGTACCCATAGCTGTTTCACGGAACAGCAGTACTAGTACAGTAGCAACAGCAACTCAGTAACTCAGTGGTGAGGTATGACAAAAGAAGAGCAATGACGTAAAAGTCTCCCTTCTTCAGAAAAAAGTTTCTCCCTCCTCCATTCACTCAACAACTTTCCCCTCAACTCTTTTCTCTCCTCGAGTTTCGCGGAATGACGAATGGCACACCCAAGCGCGCGCACAGACATTTGTGGGATGGTCTGCCGATAAGAACCGGACCCTGGTGCTCCAGTCTAAACCTAGACCGGGTTGGTGCAGGGTTACTGTGCGTGGTTGGCTCTGATTGGCCAAACGGAACGTCGACGACTTTTCTCCGCACTTTCACTTTTTCACTTGACTTTTGAACTGCACGCAACGTTGGCCGCCGGGATTGGCGCCTCTAGAAGGTATCAGTGGCTGGTACGTACATAGACTACATGTATGTCTATGCACCTTACTCTACATTAATATTGTGCACTTCTTTGCTTGAAATTTTCATGGTCTGCAAATAATAGGGAGAACTGTTGCAAAGATTAAGAAGTCTTTGATGGTCATCTGAGGGAGGGAAAAATTTAAAACGTGTGGTGAGAAGTTGACAACTCAAGTTGTGGGTTACGCATAGGAATGGGAATGTGAATCTGAATCTTGGTCTTGGTCTTGGCTTGTGACGTACCCATAGCAAGAACTGGACCCTTGAACATGAACATGCGAGCGCCGAGCACACTCGACCCCCCCTTGCGCGCCCATCCCAAACTGTCGGGACGAAAACAAACATCCACTCCCCCTCCTCTTCTCCCCCTCCCGCTGACACGTCGAGATTCTCAGTCACATCTGCCGCCGAACTTGACTATCCCATGGCCAACGGATAACTCAGTGCACACCCTCTTTTGAGCCTGCCATACCTAGAGTGTGTACCTTCTCTATCCTGATGGTCTAGAGTACTATGCTGCTTTATGCTCTACGCACCATCATCATGCAGTGAGTGGTAACGCACCAACTGTTAGAGTAGAGACGACTCGTAGGGTAGGTACTCTACTCTACCAGTGGCTAGGAGAGTTTCTAGAATTGCACACGTATGGGGATGGAATTGCAATTTAGAGTCTGCTACTGTATTTCTAACGGGCGAGAATGTAAGAAATATTGCAGAAAGCCACACGAGTTCAAAATTTGAGACCCGGATCGTCGATTCTGCCCCCCTCAATCTCAACTTAGATAGAGACCGAGTCTTTTTCGCCATGCAGATTGGATTTTCCTCACGTTTCCCTTGGTGTGCCGTATTCGCTTGCCGGTGATTCGTCGAAGGCGGGGGTCTGTCTGTAGAGATTCGGCCTCCCGTTCAACACTTCCAGGGATATCCTTTCAAAATGTCCGACCAAAAGTGAGAAGGGCGACAACAGCATCATCCAACATCTAGCGTCCGGTGTCCGGCGTTTGGAGTACCATCATCAAGCATCAAGCATCTACTCTACCTAGAGTATCCCCAGCTACCAGCTCGTTTTTTTTTCCCTTTTCAAGCCCCTCCTCCCTCTTCCAACCCCTCTCCTTCCCTTCATCGTTGCCACCCCCCCAAGAAGGAAACACACGCTTCTTCAACACCTTACTTGCTCGCCGCTTCTACATTCTAGGTATATCCCTACGTGCAAAATTGACAAGCCGCAGCCCGACCTCCTCTCCCACTTGTCAGCCTAGCTCAATAGCTACCTACTCAAGGCAGTAACGTGAAAGCACAGCTGGTCACTTACCAGGGTAGTCGTCGACATCTAAGACCTGTCTATCGTTGTTATTAGGTATTGTTCCACTTGTCACGTCACTCGTTGGCCATTGCTCACCGTACCGCCCAACAAAATAAGCCAACCCGCCAGCCACCCTTGAAACATTTTCAATAATTGAGTGAGGGAAAAAGAGCAAAGAGGAAGGGAAAAAAACCTTTCGCATTGTTCCAGAAGCTCATCGAACAAGCCTTCTCCGCCGCTGTGCGTACATAGCCCTGCAAAAGTAAAAAATAAAAAAGCAGGCAAGCAAGATTCTCGGGAGCGCCCTGTCGAGGTACGTAGGTGGCTAGCCTACCCGCTCTCTCCTCCCCTCCTCCCCTCCTCCCCCACCCCCCTTTCCCCCCTTCCCTATTCACAATATATACGCCTTCCTCTGCCATCAGTATCCTATCCTGCTCACCATATATACTCACATCTGTGTTCACAGCTATTTATTCGTCCCTTCCTCGATATAGGAAAGACATCCACGAACAACGACATACAGACGAAATCTGTAAGAGGAAGAAAATAACAAAGGAAAGAAGGAAACCCCAGATTCTCCAAGAAAGATGTCGATGGATCCTGTAACAGAGCTTCAGCACCTGAAGTTTACACCAAGGACCTCAGCATGGAAGCATATGCAACGGTTCGAGAGATTATGCGCATTAGCATATCCACGAGCTACTGATGCTGGCAAATGGTACGTTCATTCTTACACGGTTCAAGCATTTTGAGTGATTTGTCTTGAAATCACGATATCGTGGTCTCTAAAAAAATCTCCATCTCCTTTTATCTTATTTTTTGGGGTGGGTTCATTTTCTAACGTGACTCAACTTTTTCTGCAGGAGCTTATTCGTAAAGACCATTGACACGACAAATGTGTGGGGCAGTGGGAGGGGTGTGACGCCTGGAAGATGGCTGATGGAGTTGAGTAAGTTAAACCCCTGCCAATGATCTGCTACTCCATTTCTACTGGTTGCTTTTTCTTTTTTTCTCGCCGGGCACCTTTGTTGGCAACGGTACAACCAACTCGGTGACCTGGCCACTCCAAACTAGTACTTATTAAATGTCCCCCCCTCATTCTAACATGTTCATAGGCGAGGACTGGCTACGAAAGAACCCTCACTGTGCTCAGCCGGACTGTAACGACTGTAAGTTATTATCCTATCTCTTCCCGTCCTACCACCCTACATATTCAATTAACCTGTCCCGTCCCGTTTATACTGTCCTCCCCCTCCCCCTCCCCCTCCCCCTCCCCCCCCCCCCCCTCTGCTCTCCAGTCCATCTTTCCTCTTCTTGTGCTCACGTTCCTTGTTTAGGCAAAAACGACACCATGTCTTTCGATTATCTTAAGAATGCCTTCCTTGATCGCTGGGGTGCGCCTGCGTCCCCGCACGGCAAGCTCCGCCAGCCTTCTCGGTCCCACTCCATGCCCCCACCATCCGAGTCGGACGGTGATCCGGGCGAGATTTTGACCCCATCTGATATTGTCTCCAATGCTCTTATCCCAAGAGGGAGCCACTACCCACCTTCTGCCCCCACACCTCCAAACGAGCCTGTAAATGAACGGGAGCGCCTCGTACAAGAGACCAAGACCTCTATTGCTATCAACCCTGCTCCCGGGAGTGGCGGTGGTCAGATCGTACTGTCGATCTCAGACACCAACAAGCCCCGACGAAAGAAGAAGGACGGTAGCAGGAACGTTGACTCCCGAAATTCACACCGCGGACATCATGGAAGCCATGACATGGAGGCTCCATTGGATTCTCCTGGGTGGACTGAAGAGAATGATGCAGAAGAGGAACGCCGGCGACATGAGGAGATGGAGGAGGAGATGGAGCGCCAACGGTATGAGGAGGCGATGGAGATGCGGGAAATGGAGATGCAACGCCAGCGGGAGGTGGAGATGCAACGCCAGCGAGAGACAGAGATGGAATCGATGCGTCGGCGTGAGGCGATGGAACGCCAACGGGAGATGGAGCGCCAAAGGGAGATGGAGCGCCAACGGGAGATGGAGCAACGTCAACGGGAGGAGATGGAGCACCGACGGAGACAGATTCATGTCGTCGAAGTCGAGCCCGCAATGGAGCTTGTCCGCCAGGGGTCTGTCTCTAGCGAAGGATCCCACAAGAACAACGATCAGGCTCTTGTTGAGATTCCTCCATCCGAAGTCGAAGAGTCTACGATCGCCGGGAGCGAGACTGGGCTCGGGGGTGCCATGACCGTGGCTCCACCTTTGAGGCCTCGGTTATTGGAAGGAAAGATCTGTGCTATCACTGGGGCATCACGAGGTATCGGGCGTGCCATCGCCCTCGGATTTGCCAAAGAGGGGGCGCACATTGTTGCACACTACTGGGGAACTAAGAGCGACCCCGCCAATGAGGAGATTGTCTCCCTTTGTGTTGAGATCCGTGGTATGGGCCAGGGCTGCACCATCGTCTTCGGAGATATCTCAGACCCCAGGACCAGCGACAATATCATCAAAAGAGCTGTTGAGACCTATGGAAAGCTCGATGTAGCTGTCGGTAACGCTGGTATGTGTTGGTACCGTGACTTCCTTGATGTTACCCCTGAGTTGCTTCGTCGCCATGTCGAGGTCAATCTCAATGGAAACTTCTATTTTGTCCAGGCCTGCGCACGTCAGTTCAAGTCTCAGTTCCATGCGCTCCCCGTTGATCCTCGCCCCGATCCCATGCCTGACTACTCGTTGATCTTCCTGTCTGCGGCCGGTGCCCACTCCGGTAATGGACATCAATCCCATTACAACCCTACCGCAGCTGGATTGGTCAGCTTGATGCAATCCACCGCCGTGTCGTTGGGGCCTTACGGTGTACGATGCAACGCCTTGTTGCCTGGTGTGATCCAAACTAAGATGAACAAGGAAGAGCTCACAGATATGGAGAAAAGGGGACGGTTGGAGAAGAAAGTTCCCCTTGGAAGGCTGGGTGTTCCCAGTGACATCGTGGGCCCGGCGGTATGGCTTGCTGGTGAGGGTGCGAAGTATGTCAGCGGCGCACAGATTGTGATCGATGGTGGTGCTTTTGTTAATAACTACTAAGCTGGATGGGTAGATGATGGGATGCGTGATGTTTTTTTTTGCTTTATTTTTCGTTTATCAGTAGGTATGATTGGGATGTGGGAGACTTTTGTTGTAGTTTCGGGCATCGTTTTCTCTTATTTTCTTGGATTCATTATGGGGCATCATTCCTTTTACATTTCTTATCTATATATGGCATGGCATTGCGTTTTTCTGTAGGGTTTACCTCTTTTTTTGTATTGGTGGGATGAAGGGGGTTTGGGTTAAAACTTTTATGTTAAGAATAAATACGATAAACGACAATATTTAGCTCCAATTATCTTTCTGTGATATCGCGAGTAAAATGGGAGTGATAAACAAACGGGCTTTGCGGTTAGATACATGTATCTTCACCTATTTTCACTAATTCTAGCGAGTGATTTTCTATGATTACTACCTGAGACCAAGGTGCACTGACCGATGCTATCCCTTAAACTGTCACTTTTTGGCTTCCAAGCCTATTTTGTTAGTCTTAGTATTGGGAGCAATCTAAGCTATTTTTTAGTTTTCTCAGGCTACTACTTTACAGGTAGATGTAATACCATATCCGCTCTTTATGGCAGCTAGTCCTCGGACTTTGCCTATAGGTATATAGTTCCACTTCTAAACTCGGCCTTGACCTACTTGGGCTGTTTGTTGTTACTCTAAAGACGGCTTAAGAGATAGCGGAAATTTCACGACAGCTGTATACGTACTTGTTTACTACCACGTCGATGTGAAGATTTAATCACACTCTATCACTCGAAGAAAGGTTGGAGAAGTGTTATTTTACTTGTATGATTTTTTTTTTGTTTAATTCATTACTTGTATGATTGATAATTTATTTGTGTATTATTTTACTTGCACATTGAGATGAAGGCACATGGGGCAACCCGGCTTGCTGACTAGACTAGTTAACTGTAACTTTATTACGGGCCACCGATTGTTGAAGATAATTAGTCCATAACTAAGCCTGATCAGGTCTAATTATCTAATTAAAGACAACATGTCAATGACAACCTACACTGTCACTAGTCGCCACATTTGAACACCGCGGCGAGAAGCCAGATAGAGATGACCGGACTTTATAATTTGGCTGCTCCTCGCTGCATAGCTTGCATTTGTTTTTTATCACCGACACACATTGCCTAGACCCCAAAATCAGCGCGCAAACCCCCTCTACATATACACTCTTCATAAATAAAAACACGGCCATGCAGTCGGGAAAAGCAGGAGAATCAGCAACCCCAGAAAAATCAACCCCAGAAAGACCAGCAAAACCAAAGCCAGCAAAAACAGGTCCAATATATACCTACAGAGGATTTTTCCCCCCAATTCTTCCAGAATCCTATATCGGATGGGCGCCCATCGACGGTACAAGCGTCAGTGCCAAGATGTTCTTGAAGTATCTTGATGAGATCACGAACCTCATATCGCTATGGAATTGGAATGCCATCGAGATGTTTCACGGTACCAGGGGCGATGGTAGTTCAAATGATGCATTGGTCATCACCATATTTCCCTGCGAAAAAGAAAAGATTCCATGGATCGTTCGAGCACTCGAGCCCTATGGCGCTTTTCTCGAAGCCGACGTGCTAGTGCAAACTGGCACTCCAAGCAGGCAGGCTGAGCCATTGAATAATGGGGGATCTATATCAGCCGCCCTCAACTCCACCCGTATCGGTTCTGTCGGAGGTTTCCTCAAAATTGGTGATGAGATCGTTGGAACAACATGCCACCATGTCATCTTTGGTGGTAACGATAATTCCAAGCCTATTACAGACAGATATAGCCCGGATAAACAGGTGGGTGTTATGCCTGATAATAGGGGAATAACAATTTCTAGTCCGTCCTATGGGCTCTACGAAAAGGTTGCTATGAAGGATGTGGAATTAGCTAATAAAAGGAAGGACGAGTACAAGAAATATTGTATAGATGGAGACCGGATGCCAGAGGATATGGATAAGCACGATCTGGATGTAGCTCACCATGAACAAGTATTGGAGTTGACGCGAAGGCGGTGTTGGGCCGGGACGATCAAGTACGATTGCGGAGAAATGCATTTAACAGAATGGTACGGCCGTAGGACAACTGTCGACTGGACCATTTTCTCTATTGATCCCTCGAGAAAGATCACGCAACCGATTAATACACTGTATCTCACCGACATTACTTCTTACCGCGAAAATACTTGTGATATAAAGACGTTTCACAACCTCGGAGATATTGCGACCCGTGGTGGAATGGATGTCTGGAAATACGGGTTTAGATCCAAGTGTACCAGAGGGAGAACCAACGGTGTTTGGAGTAGAATTTATCTGGGCCCGGTGGAGCAATCACCGAGCGCGAATAGGGCATATACCGACGAGATTTGTATCATTGCAGATCCGGGAAAGAAGTTCTCTGTCGATGGTGATAGCGGTGCTTGGGTAGTGGGGACGAATCATGACCTGTTGGGATTTTTGTTCGCTGGTGTTTCGGATGAGCCTCCTTATAGATCCTATATGATGGATATACACCTTCTCTTGACTAAAATAAGAGCTGTTACTGGTGTCGTTCCTGAACTACCTCTGTAAGCTCACCTACTTCGTGATGGACATTTCTCAAGCTAACATTTAGTAGTCCGACTGTGGAAAAGGCGCAAGACCCACCACCACCTGCAGACGTCTTGTACCCTATCCTCGATGCAATCAGGGCTAGTGTCAACCGCCATGGCATTCAATACGCAGAAACATTGCCGCAAAGACCGGAAACATAAGTACCGCCATAACTCGAAAAATTGGCTAGCTTCCAGAGATCAAAATTACTTGTATGGGAAACTTCTGATGCAGATCGATGCCATTCAACCAATCACTCGAGTGATAATCCCTGGCCGGAGATAGCCAATTTTTCGAGTTTTGGCGGTATAGTGTGAAAACATATCTTCTTTTCTTCTTTTCTTTTCCTTTCTTTTTTTGGGGGCGTTTATGGTTTCTGATGAGCAAGGTCTTGGAGTTTTATCAATTCGAGAAGGATTTTAGTACTCAAGATGAGTGTATGGTGTACCCGAGGGTGAGGAAAGATAGATTGTGGAGGTCTTGGGTTATCATTATCAAGTTTAAAATTTATCTTTTTTACTTCCCTTCCGTTTCTCCTACATACATGTATATTGAGATAGGAAGTACCCGAGTGTATCCCTGGTCTGGAAGGGCTTGTTGGCAGGTTTATTTGCAAAGCTGTCGGGTGTTGGTAGAGCTATAGACAATCAAGAATTTTAAACAGTCCACGTGTAAGACGTGAGTTATTTTTCTTTGGTAACTGTTCTAATCACGTTTTTGTTCTATTCTGACGTTTCCCTTTTCCGATAATTTGATATGGTCAGTCCATGCAGCTAAAACCTGGCGATCCGATCAATTGAGGAAAAAGAATTAGAAATGCAGAAGAATGCAGCTAATTATTGCCCTAGAGTTCAATAGAATCATGTAGTTAGCTTGAACCATAGACAAATTTTGGTCAGTACTAGATACTTTTCAAGCTTGGACCCGATCGGATCTTACTTCGAGCCGGATCAATGTTACGCTAGGCCAGTAGACTATGGAGCTCAGGCGCTTGGGGCTGTTGAAGTTATCCTTCCCGTTCTAGATGTTATCGGGGGGCCCAGAGATTTTTTTAGAAATTTGCAGAATCAGACGACGGCGGCGGCGAACGTCGTCTAGCTATATGTTCCGGGGCGCGGATAGAGAGCAGCAAGGCTGGTACGGGCGTGTTCCAGGGCCTGTTACCTTGGCGCCTAGTAACTTGTTACATGTTACGCCAGATTTCATTCCGCTGACTAAGTCGATAGTGCGGAGAATGTTGAGCAATATGAGTTATCAATATCGAGTGAGAAATGGTGACAGGCATTGCAACTGCTCAGTTTCGGTCTTAGTCTTGTTTTGAAGCATTCTGAGCGAATCGAGCCATGGAGGCGCTGACGGATCATGAGAATTAGAGGCGTTGAGTTACTGACTACTCGAGTGCTAGTGAATCGGAGTCATTATTAATTTATGGCCATAGGAACAATCCATTACTGTTGCCAGTTTGGCTAACGTCGTTTACGAAGCCGTTTATGGGCCCTATTTTATTATTACTTTGGCGGATATCGACAATTAGCAATATCCTGACTAGCCAACAGCTCTCCTTAGATTTTGTTAATTCAGTTGGTAAGTTTATTATCAGTAGTTTCTGTCCTGTTCGAAAGCCTAGCGACCATGATGAGACGGTGAGCCTAACCCCAGACCATGGTCAGATCAGATTATTCCTCGTACGAGCGGTTAGCTCGGCTGCTAATTCGTCTTCCTCCCCCTTCTAACACCTATTTCCCCAGCAACTGCGAAACCACCCACAAGGCCATTGTCACAGAACCAGATCCAGCATTTCCTTTGGACAAGCATATGCATGCTATCTAGCAAGAAAACCACTTTATTACTCCCAACCAATTTCCTCTTGCCCGAGCAGAAGAATGTAGTTTCTCCCCCCGACATACCTGTACAGCGCGGCCCGAAAAATCCGGACCCACCACGGCTTTCGCCGACCAACCCCAGGAAATCGACAAAGATACTTCCAGGGCAAGACAAGGCAAGCAGCAAAGGAGAGTGTGTGGCTGACGTCGTCCCATGTATCGATATATTATGTAACTTGGCGCTCGGTAGTTCCGGATAATAAAGTACCTGATGCATGGTACATGTGGGTACATACGCCATAAAAGCGCTAGATCGACAGGAAGTCAAGACCCGAAATTAAAAACCTGGTATCAATCCTTGTCAGGCAGAAACACCACGGGTTTCTTGGTGATTGCCGTGTAATGTTCCAGAAAGGGCCTTACCGGGCTTGCATGATTCATGCGATATCACTCGATTATTTGAAAAGTCGTGTAGCTGTCTAGCTACAGATATAGTGCAAAGATTACTTAGGTGAGCGGCCGCACAAGATGTAGGGGCTGCCTTTTTCAATCGGTATCGGGTCACGGGGTTGAAGAGAAATGACCGAATCAGGAAATTTCAACGTCTTGTGTGACCAACAATCGATTGATACGAGTTTTGCATTTCTCTAGATATCGATATCAATAAAACATAGAATAAGAACGACTTTCAGTGAATATTCACAAGGCTCCACATACGTCTAAGCAGCGAGTTTGCCGCCTTGGTGATCTTTCCCTTGAATATCACCCTGCACATGTGGCGAGGGCACCGCGCGAGGTGTTTTCAGAAGGCGCATTCCTAATTCAAGATGCCTCCCTGCACAGACGGGTCTCAATTGATTGACTTTCCATGTCCACTTCAAAATGGCTGGGCGATCTCCATCAGCTTCTTAATCTTATTATTTATCGGGGCGCGCGATAACCAAGGGACTAACACATATTAGCATATTTTGATCTCTTTAGTCAAGTATCGCTCATGATCATAGTGTTGCCTCTACAAATCAATACTTCGATTGCCATGAAAAGACCGCATGACTGGTACCTTTGTATCGAGTGCGGCGTGATAATAATACGGGGTTCCTTCCCTAGATTCCTGGACTCCCTGGGAAAATCTAGCGTAAGTAATAAGGAAAAAGTACTATAGGTCATGGTTAAGGTCAATAGTAAATCAAGTTTATTCGAATAGACCATCTTAATTCCCCTCCAAAGATTCAGAGATTTTAACCTTTATTCCTCACCGCTATAGTGGCTGACACCCATCATCTTGTTGATTGGGGAAGGTTCCCCTCAATTCGCCTGATTCCACCCAGGTATCATGGTATTTGTCAAGCATTTGTTTCTCTCAATCAAAATAAACAAGGAACACAAAGATATCGATACGTACCCGTGTCGTTAACCCAGGCATACGAGGTCCACCTGTCAGCAGAATATGCATAAATCGAGTATTACCCTAAATTTACTGACAGATTTCGGAACACAGGCCCGGTGTTTTCTTTACGAGTATCTTCAATCCCACTTGGCGTTCAATTTGAGTTGTCAGTTATGTGTGCATATCTTTGACTGTGCAACTTCTTGAAACATGTGCCACCTGGTACAAAGATCTACTTTGAAATAAACTACCATTACCGTCGAGTTGATCTTTCCAATAGATATTTCAATTAACATACCGCTTGTCCCATTCCCAGAGTTGATCCACAAAGCCAAGGTCTCTATCCTCTACCCGCAACCGGATATCGGATGGATGATCATTAATGTGGAGTCGCTAACTGACTATGTTTTTCTAGAATATCAATGATATTACAACCTATAAAGTACAAACGTTTCCAAACTATCCCCAAACTGGCCGCCATGATCGTCATGACTTGGTCCCATTTACGAAGCCACATTCGTATCTAGTACATAGTCGGGAATGGGGAAAACTCCGCCCGCTGTCAAACACTTTCAATAAACTGCTTGCAAGGCGGAGTCATAGTGGTGCCTAGCCCAATTATCATAGATAATTTCTTCACCCATCTTTACTAGCTTGTCACGAGAGTAAGTTCTAGCTGTCATTATCGTGTTATTATCCGTTTTCACCTTGTGAAGCCACAAGCATTGTTTGTTGCGGTGACTATGCTTGTGATCAGACCTAGCCTCTGTGATCTCTGAAGGACCAGAACCAAAAAAAAATATCTCTAGCCCAATACTTGCAGTTAATACTTATTATGGCTTTTCGGATCTATCGCATTTCTCTCTCTCCGAGCAATCCGGTCCGTATTCCTACCAGATATTGCACCGGGTATCTCTAGCAGGAACAAGTTGCATTGAAATGAGGATCAGACACCATAGTATGAGAGCAAAAGGAAATACGCCGGGAACAGTGCTACGGAGAAGATGTAGTTAAAAACGATAGACTAGAAGTCTTCCTTTTCAGGCCAGTCTAGTTAATAAAAAACGTTCCAGACGGTCCGTCTGATCCTCTAGTAGCTGATCTACCATGGTCCTGTTTAGGATACTATAATTTGTATTCCCAAACTGTACTAATCCCGTGGTAAACACACCACCACAACCACCGCGTATAGTAATAGCAGAGGTAAATAATCTTCCGAGAAGGTATGGTAGAGTACGTATGCTCACGTAGGGTATATCCCCCTGCAGCTGCAAGAACTGGTACATGGCAGCTACCTTTTGAGCATATATATTGTGAATTCTACTAAGTAGTACTATATCTCACACCTAGCCAACAGTACCGTTCCCCTTTTTTTTCGGTACTGGCCCTGCCGATCGAACTGGGGAATAAGGGTATCCGGCGCGTTCTCCCATTCTGCAGGCATCATGATCGGCAAGATCCAGTGTTAATGGGGACGCCAGGTCGCCCGATTTTGAGGATGGGGTCTGAGGCCTGGCTCGCAACCCGGGTTGCTATAGGGTTAGGCTTTGTTTCCTTGTGGCCCTTTACCAGAGTGAATCGAGGCTACGCTTTCTCTTTGATATTATAACACTACCTCGCGGAGCCCTTTCAGAGGCTTTGTAGACCTATAGCTAGCCGTTGACCACAGGACACATAGTAGTAGCTGCGCAGTACTACATAAGTTAGATTGAGTTTGTAAACAAATTGGGAGGACAAAGCTTGAAACAGGTAGTCGTCAGGGCGTTAATCCAATAGCCAGTAAGTATTATAAAATATGGCATTCTGTGTTGGCCACGAGCCTCTTACTTGAGACGTAAGCCTGCTTAGTTAGGAAAAGCATGGGTATGAAATAAAGACTTTAAGCCAACCCATCCTTGTCTTTCCATTTGTGGTAATGAGAATGAAACTCATGTCGATCAAAGGGCCCAGTTTCAGACCTGGTCTTCCATATAGATTGCGATCAGCATAGGTCAACGTGACTTGATATCCAGAAATATGATTGGTGACATGCAAAATAATGGAATAACAAAATCTAACAGATACATCACCAAATTCGTGAAGAGCTCAAGTTAAGATGAAAAACTTTAATACAATCCTACACGAAGCTAGATACAACAATATCGTTAATCAATAGAATCGGAAAATCATGGGATGCGGAAAAACCTAACGTTGATGAGTGGACGGGATATTGTATACCGACAGGTACTATAGCCCCGGCCTTGGTCCTACTGTAGTCTACACCTTTGCTAATTTAATTAAAGATGATCCTGACAACGCCCCCCCCCCCCCCCCCCCCCCCCCTCCCGCATGCCCCGCAATGTCTTGCCATACGCGGGGCGAATGCAGCGAAAAAATGGCAAGAAAATCTACAGGTACATTTAGGGGAGAGTGTCGAGGAAAATCTATCGGGGAACTCGGGAAACATATTGTATCCTAAGAGTATGTGTTGGGATGTCGAGTGACTTAGACGGTTGCAACCCGGAAAGTCGATCTGATATGTTCTGAGTGATGTGGTTGACATTTGGGTGTAGGTGCAAACAAGAAACAAAAACGTTGGTCAGACAAGACCACGATATTGATATTGCCAAGGGTTGGCTGATGGGGTGGCTGGTTGCCCGAAAACCTTTTCTCAAGATCTCTAGCTCGTTACCCCAACATCGTGAGATTTGGCTGAATTCGGTTGCAACCGAACCAGGGTTATGATTGACCCCGAGGAGGGGGTACGGAATGTATGGGGCCGGGCGGCGCCCGGAGCTCGGCCCAAAGCCGTTGACAGGCTGTCTTACCCGTAGAGTAGAGTACTTTAGGTACTCTACTCTACCAGGTTATGCAGCCGTCTTGGCTTACCGGGGTCCACTAACTACCAAGGTGTGGCGGACAGCATTGCGTCTGAGCTCAGCTTAAAGTAATAACTGTTTCAAAATCAAGTGATTGGTGTGGTAAAGATTTACAACTCCTATAGTAGCTTTTGTATCTGAGGGAAATCAGCGGATAGTCGTATCGTCTGATTCTTGTTAGTGAGGTTGGATAACATTTTTTCCTATTATTTTTTATTAATCACTGCCATATTAGAGTATGAAGAGTGGTAGTAAACTCACTCATATTCAGCTAAAGTAGCTATTGATTTCTATAAGATGGTTATGGCGAGGATAACTAGCCAGAGCCGTTGTTTCCTCAAATCATGGATAGATTAGGCTCCCTGGATTTTTTTAAACCGATCCCTGATCTAGATTCATTCGTCTGTTCTTGCAACGGAGTTTAATCTACCCATGGTCTATCCATGACCTAGTGTACCCATGACCATGGCCATAACCTAGCTACCCACTGTTTGTGACAGATGTCGACTACATATTCTCATAGTATTCATCCCTTTTACTCCATTACTTGATCAAGTGAATTCACCAAAATCCTAGATTTCCAGAGGAGGAAAATGAAGATTTGCAAAATATTCGTAGTGAACTTTTTACTAAATAGATCTCTTGTAGTTTGTACGTGCCATTCTGGTCTAGTATTCTTCGCACTCTGTTGTTTCATAGTGTGTATTTTTTAGAAACAGAAGGCATATCCTTGGCATAAATTAAACCCCGTGTGTAGATTAAACGTCGGCTCGGGGAAACCTCATGATACCAGGGTTGCTCATTATGTGGATTGCCGTTGTTCAATGTATTCACGGCTCCGCCGGCCGTCCGTCCCGCCGACTACCCTCTCAGTTGTCTCGGGCCATACTTTTTTTCAAACAACTTGCCGCGCGAGTAGTGCTTTTTTTTCCCACGGGTGTGGCTACAGCAGTAGTACCTGCATACTCGATAGTAGCATACCCTTGCAATTGACAGTGGCAGGCCTACCTCCACAACCACACATAGAGATCTACTTCGATACTAGCATTAGCACACGGATGATAGTCCCATCATTCACTACCCACTGAGCTCTTCTGTAGTACAAGCATATTTGCGATATTGGCGTACGGCTTTTGGTCCCTGGACCCATGCTACCATCTAGATTTCGGTGTACTTGTTAACGTATATAAAGCTTCAATTCTCTCCCCTAAATTCAATCTGCATCTCACCATCAGTCTCTGCATCTCACCATCAGTCTCTTCATCAATCCAACAGCCTAGTCTTCAGTCTATCATTCAAAATGCTTCGTGCTCTCGTCTCTCTCTCAGTCGTTGCCCTTGTGCGCGGCCAACAGGCCGGTACGGTCACTGCGGAAACCCACCCCAAGCTCACTTCTCAGAAGTGCACAACCAGCGGTGGCTGCACTACTCTCTCCACTTCGGTCACTCTCGATGCCAACTGGCGTTGGTTGCACACCACTAGCGGTTACACTAACTGCTACACCGGTCAGGACTGGGACGCCTCCCTTTGCCCTGATGGAGCCACCTGCGCATCAAACTGCGCTCTTGATGGTGCCGACTACTCTGGAACCTATGGTATCACCACCACTGGTACCGCCCTTACCCTCAAGTTTGTCACCAAGGGCACCAACACCAACGTCGGATCCCGTGTGTACCTTATGGCCAGCGACAGCGAGTACCAGATTTTCAACATGAAGAACCAGGAGTTCACCTTCGACGTTGACGTCTCCAAGCTTCCTTGCGGTCTCAACGGTGCTCTTTACTTCTCCCAGATGGATGCAGATGGTGGTATGGCTAAGTACTCCACCAACAAGGCTGGTGCCAAGTACGGAACCGGTTACTGTGATGCTCAATGCCCTCACGACATTAAGTTCATCAACGGAGAGGTAAATACTCCCTATCCATCTCTCTTTCTGAAGTTTTACTAATCATTCCCTTCTCATTAGGCCAATGTTGATGGCTGGACTGGCTCTGACAGCGATGTCAACTCCGGAACTGGCAAGTATGGATCTTGCTGTGACGAGATGGACGTCTGGGAGGCCAACAGCATCTCTTCCGCCTTCACTCCCCACCCTTGTAGCGATGGCCAGGTCCGCTGCGAAGGCGATGACTGCGGAGATACCGACAGATACAGCAGTGTTTGCGACAAGGACGGTTGTGACTTCAACTCCTACCGCATGGGTGACACCACCTACTACGGTGAAGGACTTACCGTCGATACCACCCAGCCCTTCACCGTTGTTACCCAGTTCTTCACTGCCGACAACACCACCACTGGTGCCCTCTCTGAGATCCGCCGCCTCTACGTCCAGAATGGACAGACCATTGTCAACTCCAAGGTTAACATTGCTGGTATGGATGCATATGACTCAATTACCGATGACTACTGTTCGGCCCAGAAGACTGCCTTCGGCGACACCAACGACTTCGCTACCAAGGGTGGGCTCTCCAAGATGGGTGATGCTTTTGACAAAGGGATGGTCCTTGCTCTCAGTATCTGGGATGACCATGCGGCTCAGATGTTGTGGCTTGACAGCGCCTACCCTCTCGACAAGGACGCATCTGCACCTGGTGTCAAGCGTGGAACTTGTGCCACCACCTCTGGTGTCCCCGCTGACGTCGAGGCCAACAACGCGGATGCCCAGGTCACCTACTCCAACATCAAGTTCGGTGATATCGGCTCAACATACGCTTAGATTGTTTAGACTATGGATTGGCGGATCGGTGTATAGTTCAATGTATACTGTATGAAAAGTGTTTCTTTTTGTTTCTTTGGTTTATTATTTAGAATGTGGTATTTTTACTGCATTGGGTTTTTAATGCGGTATTACGGCTGCATCTTAAAAGGACATGTCAGGCTACATGTAAAGTATTTAGGAGAGAAAGAATTGATTTTATATACGAGGCTGTACTCAGTAGATTCCCGCCAAGCCCCGAGTGATTTTGCATGATTTCACGTGACCACCTATCGAAAACCTAACCAATTAGCACATTGCAACTACCTAGGTTTGATATCGCATACTTGTGCTTACTTGGGCACATTTGATGAGAGCGTTATAATAATTGGAGGATAATGGATAGAAGGGATCTGGAATTGAAGATACATCTGCTGTGCCTCATGCATAGCAGTATTTTAGCTAATTGGCCTTGTATTCTCAATCCACAACTCTTAATGAATTAAACAAAAAAAAATCAATCCACAACTCAATGGATAACGTTGGTCTTACGAGATTGAGAAATCAGAATCAAAATACCAAAAGTAGGTGATCCAATGTCGATAAGTAACCAAGAAGTGGGTGGCCCTCGTTCTGGCGTGATGTGACGGCCTGATTAGATAAGGTTAATAATATAGATGGCTTCCCTGGCCACCCGAACACCCCCCTCACCCGAACAGTTGAGTATGATTAGTACACACACCGGTTGCAACGAAGATCCTTTCTTTTTGACGTTGACTGTTCGGGTGAGGGGGGTGTTCGGGTGGCTAGGGAAGCCATCTAACAAAGAATCACCAACCAGTGTATGGAAGGCCGCTAGGACAGAAAGAGTACTACCTTAGACTATGATAACAATGATGATAATGATGGTAGATGAAGGGTCTGTACGGGTAAAAGAATACATATATATAGCCCTAGTCACAGCCCGATTGCGCAATGTTGTTGAAGATGGTGAATCGTGTTTCCCTGCAACTACCCTCGAGCTCGCTACGTCTTGTGTATCACATGCATACAGAGCCTCATTTTTAAACCCCCCGTTGAACAAGAATACCAGACAGTCCTAACACACACCTTCCTGTATACACATATCGACCTCTAAATCACTAGTTTTACACTACAGGCAGCACTTCTAATCCTACAATGTGGCCGATAAATTGGCCACTTAACTGCCTAACCGATAGAGCAAATGGCTTCGACAAGTTACTCTCTTGGGTTGAACTTTAGTCTTGATCCGTTCATAAAAGCCACATTTTCGACAAGAGGGGCTGAAACGAAACAACAAACTCAAAGTATCGTTCTATAGCCCATAATCAAAAAATGTGTTTCAAAGTTAACATTAAGTCGGAGGTGCTGAGTACAAAGAACTGTGCCATGATGACCCAGGAGAATGCAGCTATAACCTATTAGTCTTTTGAAAGTGCCCCTATAGATCTTATTTGGTCTACTAAGTTTTATTCGCCGGTTTTTGGGACCTGAATGAGTGCCATCATAAGATATCACTCGTAGGTACCGGATCTCGCCTTTGTGCACATGTCGTTTCGTTTCAAAAATCGTCGCTTCCACTCAAATTCTGAAAAACTTGTTCATCACCCAATGACTTGAAAATTTCATCTTGAAATCCAAGTCCCCCTCATCCAACGCTATAAGTAGCACTCCTAAAAAGTAATAATGATCTCCCCAACAAAAGCAATAAACTCGCAAGAACCAATAACAAGACAACACTTACAACACAAACTAAACAAGTCAAACTAAGCAAAATGCAGCCTACTATCCTCAAGACGATTGCAGTTCTCACCCTTCTCGCCGCGCCAGTCATTACTAGTGACGTCATCGACACTGGTGATGACATCTTCGCGCCGGTAGCTCCCGTTACGTATATTGCTAGAAGATCGCCCAAAGGTGGCAGGGGAGGTGGTGGAGGGAGATCATCCAAGTCCAGCAAGAAGTCTGGTTCAGCTGGGAGTAATAGTGCTGCTGCAGCCCCACTCGGGGTTGGGTTGGCTGCGAGTCTGGTGGTTGTTGCCGGAGTTGCTAATGTTCTATTGTAGTTCGGAATTAAGAGTTAGACGAGATTTAGAGATTCGGGTTAGACTGCAGAATGAATAGGAATTAAATCTGACAGATCCGTAATAATGAACACGAAATAACCTCTCGTACCTTATCCGAGTGAGACTACCATGTATGAGTGATACTGCGTGTTCCGCGCTATGCCGAATCCCTGACACACTCCCAATCACACCTCCTCACTCGAAAAGCAAAAGTAAATAATATTTACTTATCCTGATATAAAATACGTCGGTCACAGCGTGACCTAAAGTCCTTCCAGGAGGAGGCCCCAACGCCGAAAAAGAGGGGCTAACGAACTGATTGGCCAAGATTAAAATAAATAAAAAAAAAATAGAACTACTGTATGCAGCCTTCCGTTGACGAACCACGCCCCGAGAGCAAGACTGAGCTGAAACGACGGGAAGTTACGTTCGACACTCAGCTCAGAGTCTAGAAAAAGTGCCATTAGACAAGAAACCAGAGATCGAACAGGTATTTAGCTCGTGGGCTGACTGACACAAAGAACCTTCATGTGAGGGATCGAATCGAAGCAATTGGTTTTTAGCAATGATGTATTTTCAACCGGTCGATATCCATGATATACTATAATCCCAATATAAGATCACATGTAGACATCGTTCGGTGACACGTATCCTCGATTTCGGCTTGTCATTGTTGACAATAATGTACCCCATAGCCATATTTGCCAATTTTTGCCAATGCGATGCTCATACCACATCCGACATCATTCATCCTCTGCTAGCTGCAAATACTCCAGATCGAAAAAATACTCTTGATGCTCGTCATCCCATCTTAGTAAACGAACTGGAAGATCAACAACTAGCCGGTCATATCCGATATGTATATCTTCTCATTTAAGATGCTCACGAGTGCATAAATATTCCAAGACCCGGAGAAACCCTTCCGAATCACTTACAAACAACACCTTGTACCTCAAATCTGATATCTCATCCTTGGGAAGTCATAACCTTATCACCGCCACCTGAAGTGGCTAGGTAGTTGTGACTTTCGAGCTTATGCGACGGTTAATATCGACGGAAATTTGGGTCTGCTGAGTAAATATTGCGCAAGAAAAACTGTGCCTAAATTCGTTAGTTCATACGCAGCTAGAGTAGTAATGTCTCAAATGTCTCTTGGCATTGGCATACAAGCATACTTGCGTTACGGGATTCCCCATGATATGCACCAGGATTCAAGTAACGAAGCGGAGAAGCCGAAACATCCAGAATCAATTCACTTTATGAATTAGTAAAGAGAGGATGGCAGCATGACAATCTTCATTTCCACCGTGCCACAGTCGTTTCAATTGAAGAAACCGATATCGCAAAACTCCTTGGCAAATTTTACCCCCACTGTAGAAAGGTACATTTACGGCAGCATTACCCTGTGGCTTGAATATGTTGCTTCATAGCACACCCAAATGTAGTGTAGTAAAAGAGAGTCCCTTCACCAAGTTCATCTTACCTGCAGTCGCCGGTGACCTAAACTAGGTAGAATTACTCCTATATGTGATGTAGTTAACCCCCAAGATTAGACACAAATCTAGTACCCGAAATAGCGCATGTGTTAGTGACCCCTCATGAACAACCAACTATGTAGATAAGAAGTATGTAGTTACTTGGTATGGTATGTAAACTCAGCAGGAGGTTGTTTGTGTAAGACATATTCCCATTTCACCTTTGCTTAGACACCGATCAACCAACGGTGCCTGCCAAGCAGAGTGGACCATCTGCAAAATCGGCATTTTCCTGGTTCCCAATTACTGCCGCCAACGGGAGTTCAGCCTTGCATTCGCCGAAGCCGAAGAACATTCACCGCTCGGCTACTCCTATCCTAAAAGTCTTGCTGTGGGCGAAGAAGGAAAGGCCAACATGAGCGGATGAGGGGTAAGACAGCTGAGGGAGGCTACTGACATAACTCTAGGCATACACGCAATTGCGGCTTAGCTTAGTAACAACCACTCCAAATTGGGTAGAGGACAGCCATAGCTTACCGAGTGATCTTGTATGAGCGCCTCAAGGAGCAACAGCACCGGTGTGTAGTTGCCGATGGTGAGACCCATCCAGTCAAACGCGCTGGAATTAAGAGTAAGCGCATGCGCTTAGCTGACCGCCACGGCGAACCAACTAGCACCGTGATCATTGGGAAAAGATTTGCATAAATACCAAAAAGCAAAAATCACGTGATATGATCATCAAAATGTTCTGCATTTTTTGGCATAGCATGGATTTCTGCATTTCTGGAATCATACCTTGACCCGCTGCAAACACGCAGCAGAAGAGCTCTGTGATTCGTCGGATCCCTTCGTAATGGAACATTCCGTAAAGCAGAACGAAGCAAAAGCGCACTTCCCTTAGTATGCAGCAGAAATAAATCTTTCCGTCACCATTAAAAACATGAATCACGAGGCAAGGCGTCCTATTGCCAAGTAAGAAGACTTATTTTTTTCTTCACTTTGAGATATAGCCACCCGGAACCTATTTTCGATCCTCGATTGCTCGCCGATAACTTCACCTCGACACGAGAGAAAAGCAAAGATATGTGGTGGATGGTGGGATGAAATGCCGTTTTCAATCACACCAAAGTGGAGATTGATCAATTAATGCTCTAGGAGCCCTTGCTTCAGCTGTTCCCCATGTTCGGGCTCAGTCAAATCTCATGAAAACAAACGCTGCTGCTGATCAACACGGCATCTTGGCAATGGATTTCGAAGAAGCCAAGACATCTCTGCTGCTGTTTCACCATTTTACTGGTCAGCAAGCATAATCACTTGGGAGTAAAGTAAGGAGTGTTATCTAATGATGAGGTATCTTCTTATTCGAACGTCCATTTCAATCGCCGTTATATGATTTTTCACTCCCCGAGAAAAAAGGAAAACGGTGACGATAAGAAATCATACGTATCACACCGTGATCACGCTCCCGCTTTCATCCCGTCTCTGTGTTATCGTCAAGGCCATTACATTAGTTCAGTAATCAGATAAGACCTTCCATTATGGTACTGTTTGTAGTTAAGTATGTCCCGAATTAGCTGACACCCATATGCAAGATTATGTTATGATATTTGCCAAGGGTCAAGACAAACAAAATGTTTGAATTTTCCGGCCACGTTTTGCCAACTTGGCATTGAAGCGGCAACAGCCACCTTAAGTAGTAGGTTCTAGGAATTGTTTTAACACGCTTTGACGGGCGCGTTTCATTACTTTCGTAGCACGATTCATCAATCGTATGTAGTATGTGTCTACTCCTTAACTCAGAAGATTCCAAATCGACCATGCAACACATCCTTCTAAACTTCTAGTGAGCTGGACTAACCAGTCTGCCGGTACTCGGGGACCAAACTAGCTGTCGATCCTGCCTACCACGGCTGTGTGTGTGAACCCGATAGGTAAGGCAGGCTCCGGGGAATCAAAACTGAGTCAAAGTCTCACCATCACTTCCGGTTTCAGTTTCAGTTGGATAACTAGGCACCAAACAATGAGACTCATCATCAGGCTGAGTTAGACCTAGGACCTGAGACCTAAGACGTCCTGTCATTAGCGGGACATGTAATATTATATACTCCCTGGAAGGTTAGATTTCGTCCGAGCTCGCTATGCAGGTCTGTAATGCACACTCTAGAAGAATAAGTGGGGGTGGCCCATGACCTGCACAGCCCAGTGTATTCCCGCGAATGCTCTTCATCTTGAGTGCATAAATAAAATGGTCCCCGATGCCGGAAGGTCCGATGATGGAAGAACTTTTTGCGTTACCGGGCTGAAGCCGCCTGGACTTGATAGGGTAGTTCGCGAATAGTAGTATGTACGTAGATGGAGAAGGTAGAGGTGGAGGTAAAGGGTGATGCCAGGGTCAAGTAAGCATGGCTGCAATACCCAATTAAAGATAACTAAGTCACGAATGAAGATAGGGTGGGCTGTCAGATGCGATTGGATGGGTGTGCATATATCTTGGTACATGCTTTGTTTTATTTCAACTCTCTGGTTAATGCAGAATTATTGCTCCTACGAAGACGCCGAAGAAAGGAAGATTGGGTATTGGGTCGTTTACCTCACCTTTGCTTATTGATTCCCACTATCAGCTTGTTCAAGTGTCCAGTAGAATCAAGCAGAGCGCCCACCTCGGACATTTACATCACCTCTTCTCGGATATCAACCAGTAAGGAGCTTTGGAGATTGTCAGCACACCTCGAATCCCCAAATTTACAAACGCTCACCGGCCTTGTGATTGAATCTCAGCAAACCAAGAAGATGTCTCACGATCCAGATATAAAATCCTGTTCACTGTCTCACAACCCGATACAGGAGACTCCTACCGAATCTGAGACATAAGATTCATAGTGTGGGATTTGAGGACTGACTCCATGTACCTACGTATCGAAAACAGTGGTCCCCGACAAACGCTATGGTGCTTCTTTTCCCACCTTTTTGTTCTCTGACACTCGTCCCCGCTGGCAGAGTGAGAAGATAGGGCAGAGTCCTCATGTCTGGCTGGTTCACCAGTTGGGGTTTCATTTAGATGAGACACCCGATCTGTCCTCTCACAGATCTACCTCTCGCGATCAACCTCCCCCCCTTGTCCAGGTCACTCTCCCACCTTCCTTTCCCCACTAAACCCATCTTTCCAATGAGTGGGAGAAGAAAAATAAAGAGCCAGGGTAGACTTGATGTATGATGTCTTGCTCCGAAGCATGAGGTGCAAAGCTACCAATCATATGGTACATTCTTGGTAGATCTCTACCAGGATATGACTTAGGGCTGCAGAAGCTTTTTTTCTTTCTGAATCAAGTTACACAGGATGGGAGGGAGGAAAGGGGGGGGGGGGGTGATGGAAGGGAAAGAAGGTAGTATGATCTTAGCTGGGGCTACATTTCTAGGCTCTGCATGCACATAGCCGCATAACCCAAGGAACGGGAAAGGAAGTGAGGTGAAAAGCTCCCCCCTCCCCCCCGCGCCAGCCCACGCGTACGGTCACATACATGTAATATGATATGTTCTCCATCATCCCCGAAGGAGCCCGAAGTCGCCGAAGAAGCACAATAGAGACAACGAAGCGAAACGGCGCTAGATAGATCTAGATGGGGAATCAAACCTTTCCCCTTTTTATGTACTCACAACCTCTCGAAAGATCTTACACGAGTTGTGCAAAGGGAGGCGCGAGAGACGAGTGATCACTAAGCTAGTCCATGTAATTAGTAAATACATACATTTGTCTGCTCGCCAATCACTACCGATACCTCCCACCCACCATGGAAGGTTCCGCATCATCTGTCATCACTCGACACACGCTTACGCCCAATCACACTATTTACTTACTCGTCAACAGTTACACAGCTCAAATCTCACCAATTGGTTGAATAGAATCATGTGGAAAAGTTTGTACACGTAAAATGGGAAACCCAGTCTATAGTGTAGCCAGCGCAGCAGCAATAGGTTAGACAACTACCTACATGTAGAGATTTTCGGAACAACCATCATAGGAGAAACAGCAGCAACGTACATATGTTTTGAACTGATATTAATTTTAGAAAAGGAGACTCGTTCTTCGTTATTTACGCCTATACATTGCCGAAGCTTATACCCAAACACCTTCTCAAAAGCCAGTGAGATGCAGAGAGGATAAGAAAGAAGGGAAGACAGAATGATCGTCTCAAATGAACGCTCCCTGTACAAATGAAAGCAAACACAGTAAATAAAAGAAATGATGGTGTAATATAGGATATAATGTTTTGAAAGGAAAATTTAGAGCAAAGTCCCTAACCCCAAAAAATAAGAAAAAAATAAATAGAAAAACGCTTGAAAGTATAACCAGATCCTCAAGGAAGAACATTCCACTCCCCGTTCCAGTCCAACTCTGGCATTCCGTGATAATCCGCATCGCCGCCCACAATCTCCAGTGTTCTCTCCTCGTCAATGTATCTGAACACTTCTTCCGCTGTGATGATGCCAGTTCTTTGCGTTCCTTCTGGAATATGCATAGCGAAGACTTCTCTTGCAACCCCCTTGACTTGCATGAGTACACAATCTGCTACGCTCCACACCTCGCCCAGTGTCTTCAGCGCGCCAACACCAAGCCTGATACGTTCCTTTGCGAGGAAGCCCTCGTCACCCGTCAACAGCCAGGAGCATGCAGAGAGATGCACAATAGCAGCAAGGGTGATGACACATGTGAAAAATGGCGTATGCTTGATCAATGGAGCAGGGAGGGTAACGAGTTTGGCAATTGTGTTTGCGGCGGTAATTGCTTTTGCAGTGTGCATTGCAATTGGTTTAGCGGATGTTGACCATGACTCCGGCGATGTACACGACGTATCGCTGGGAACTACTGAGATGGCAAGGTGCGATTTTGGGCGATGAAGATAGATGGTTGCTGCGTAGACGACCATATGGGCCTGGAAAAGCATCTCGTCCACTCTTCGGTCGTTTCCAACCAGCTCCTTCTTGCAACTCGGCAGATGAAGTCCCCAGTTGACAAGACTGGCGTCAGCGGCATCAGCCTTAGGGTCATCCTGTTCGCTTCCTTGACCAACAGCCAACACTTGACCAAGAATGCGGACCGCATCAACACGGTAAGCAAAAGAGCTAAAGACTACTTGTTCGAGTGCGAAGTAACGATCATCGAACTCTTGCAATGATTTTGGCTCTGGAATACTCTGTTAAATAGTTAGCATCATGTTCAACAAGCAGTGGGGAAGTGCAAAGCATACTCCTTTGTGATAGTCCTTCTCCTCACAGGGTAGCGGGACGGTGCATGGCAGACTCCAGAGCTTGAAAGAGTCCTTTTGATGGAACCCAGCTAGGAGACCATCGAGAAAGTAAAGTTCCCACCAGGTCCTTCTCCAGCTCTCAGCTAAAACCTTCCCTGCCGGTGATCCGTTATATGAACTCTCCGAGAATTCACTCATGTTCATTCCTAGATCTAGAGCCAATTCGATGGCTTTATCCTTGACTTCGGCACACCTTTCTTGGTCATTATCGCTGTGTAGGGCAATGGCAAATAGCAGGAGTGCTTGCACTGTGAATGCATTCCGTGGAGGGTTGTTAAAAAGGGCAGCTTCGGCATCTTGCCTGAACGTCTCCGTAGGTGCGTTTTGAGCAAAGAACGAGGCAACAAAACGGATTACTGGCAGCAAAACCATAAGTTGTGATGCGGGTGTTGTGATAAGTTGAGTTGGTGGTAAAATAAATGGATGTGCTGAATGGAAGTAGGCATAGTAAATTTGTAGCAGATTGGCAGTCGCTGGTGCAGGAGCTGGAAGTTCCTGTGGAGCGGGGAAGGTGGTGCTGTTCTTGTGATAGGTCCGGAGAGTATCAAGAGGGTTTGTAGTGACCGTGCCGGCCGCAGTTGGGGCGGCATCATTCGCGGGTGCGTTCGCCAAAGGAAGGGGATTCTTGCTGAATGAAGTGCATTTTCCACTGGCTTTTGGTGGTGCTACTCGAGTAGGTGGAGATGCTAATGGTTTTGACCAAGTGTTAGAATTATGTAGTGACCAACCCATCATTGTCTTTGCCATTTGCGACAGCTTGCGGGAGAATGTTATAAGAAATAAAAAGTGTCTTTAAACTAGTATAAGAGGAAGGTGGATAATAAAATGAGCTTGTAGTGATAAGGATGAAAAAGCTAACACAAAGAAGGGAAGTACTATATATTTATGGGGAAAGGAAAGATATGGGGAGAGTGAGAAAGGTGAAGAAATAAGAATAGCGTTTCGCCCGTAGGATCGAAACGGGTGACTGGGGGGTCTTTTCTTCGGCGACGACACCAGCGGGCCGTATACAAGCAAATGACGATCTTCCCCGTAACCGTGCAGGGAAATCTTTGAGACAAAATTCAGTGCAGGAGGGAGGGAGGGAGCGTGTAGATCCCGAGAGTGAGATCTTAGCACAGCCAAGTGCCACTAGCCTCAAAGATTACCGAAGTTTGGCAACTGGAGGCAGTCAAGGTATCGAAGAGGGAAAAAATAAATCTCTCCCAAAGAGAAGAGGTCTCAGGTTTTGGCTCGTATCACCAAAAAATATCTAGATGACGATGACTGCAGGAAAAAGACTGTGGCGATCGTGCAGGCGGGGAGGTACATGTACACATATACCTGGAAATCGCCGTGGTAGAAGGCCTGAGTAGGTGTATGTACCTACATATCTACTTGTAGCATACATATACCCGACGGTAGAGGGTAGTGGTGGTGGAAGTGGTAGAGTAGTGTGGGTTGTGACCAACGGTAAATGGCAGGGACGAGGACAAGCGGCGTCCCAGACATGGACAGTCTCGGTTTGTGTAAGAAGCTTGGACCGTCTTGAGGTCGCCGAAGCATCCCTAGCGTTAGGGAAGAATGGCGACCAGCCACATTCGTCGTTGTGCCAAGCCCCCACTTGCACCCACACCAAGATCCCCGCAGTCCCCGAGTCAAGTCCCCGAAGCCCTGGTTCTTGATCGCCTAACCGAATCAAGCATTCAAGAAAACGCCACGAGGCCATGCGCCCCAACGCCTCGGTACTTCCGGGGGCAGAATCAAATGCGAAAGGGAGTGAAAAAAGGAATAACCGCAACCGCAAAAAACGGCTTGAAAATTAAGGGGATTAAAAAAAACAAATAATAAAACGTGCTTGTGTGTGTACGCCCAAAACAAAGAAATTTGAAACTCTCGAAAACGAGACATTGGAGGAGTGAAACAATCAAAGGTTCGCCGACGTATGGAAATGAATAAATACTGAAAATGGGGACCTTACCTTCGTTATTGCCATTCCCCTGTTTCTCCTCGGCCTTCTTTACCTCCACCGCTGATGAAGACCCGGGCTCATCGCCAACAGGTTTAGACTCTTCCTTTGAAGCTGCTGCCGCAGCAGCAGCCGCCGCCTTCTTTCTCCTAGTTCCTTTCCACCCACGACGTGACTTGATATAAGAGCATTCCCTTCCGTCAGTTTGGCAGCGGTTACAGGACGGAACGCCTGCATCACACTTCAAATGGCGGGCCCTACACTCCGTGCACGCAAGAGCCACGGGAGGAGGACCAACGAATCGTGCAATACGTTGGTACTGCTGCTGTTGGGCCTGTTGTTGTCTATTCGTTGGGGCCCCTTGAGGAAGAGCTGGCACCACTGGGGTAGCTTGGACCTGAACAGGTGCCGGGTGAAGAGGCTGCGAGACTGGGGGCACCATAGATGAGGGGGGAGATTGCTGCTGCTGCTGCTGCTGCTGCTGATGCTGCATCATGTGCTGTTGGTGCTGTTGTTGCGGAGGAATTGCGGCAGCAGAGTATAATTGATCTGGGTGGTCATATGGCGCGTTGGGCATGACCTGGGGTTGGAGAGGGGCTGCGTGATATTGGGGGTGTGGGGGGTATGCTCCAATAGATGATGATTGAACATCATGATGTATTTGATGGATAGGATGTGGAGGGGGATTTTGGTTGTTAATTACTTGTGGCTGATGCTGAATATGCTGAGGAATATTCTGAGGAATGAGATTCTGTGGCTGCTGCTGATGCTGCTGCTGCTGCTGGTAGGCGACACTAGGGTATTCACCATATGCATTACCATTACTGGCAGACGATGAATACCCGTCGGTAGAATAATCTGTTCCGCTGCTGGCTCCTCCTTTCCCGCCTCCGCTTGATGTTCCACTTGCACCATCATGATCAGAAGAGTATCCTACCACATTGGTGAACGAGGGGTTAGCTGTGGCAGTTGCGGTCGTAACGGGAGCACCAGCTACAGTTCCATCTCCCCCAGCTACTACGCCATTGGGGGCGAACTGGTAAGCGCCAGGGATATTTGAGGGGGGGTATGACATCTCGGCGACTTCGGGAATATGTCAAAAGGTCTTGGCTATGTGTGTGTTCGGGGAATTTGTGTGGCGTTTGATGTAAAGTAGATTGGATGATGGGATGGATGGGTGGATGGGATGGAACGGTACGGGGTTGGGGGTTGGTGGTTGGGGGTAAGGGAGTAAGTGAATAAGGCTGAAGGGTAAGCTACGCTACAGGTCTTTTGTTCGCCGTATTTGTGCGTGCGTTACTTGTGTTGCCTGCCTGATGGATGGAATCTGATTTGAGTGGTTGGAACGGGACGGCTTGCTAATGCCAGGTTGTGTATGTAATGTATGTATGCTATGCTATCGACCGAGTGAGATCGCGTGGATGTCAACTATGATCGCCGAGGAAGCCTGCAGCTTGGTGTGGGAAGGGAAAGGGAAAAAAAAAAAACTTTATTTCCCCGGTGCCGTAGATGCCGTTGATACCGTCCGCCGTCTAACGAGATAAGAAGGGAGGGGGTGGAGGCGAGGGGTGGATAAAAATAATATAAAATGAAGGGGGTGGTGTGTATGATATGGCCTGATGTTATCGTATCGCAACTTTATTCGAAAGCCTGGGACCTCCCTTTGCAAGGGTTTGTTGCGTTGATTAGTCTATCGCTTCGGAGGTTTCTATTTCTGCCTATTTCCTCCGCACAGTCACAGGCAGCAAAGTGGAGTGGAGTGGAATTCAGGTCGCCGAGCTGGTCTGACCCTTTGTTTCCCACTGAGAGAATATTCCGTACCTTGGTACTGGGTTCCTCCAGTCTCGGAATGTATAAACGGTAGCTATGGACCGTTATGATCACCACTCACCGCAGGAAGTGTAATTGACAGTAGCAGGCAGGCAGGCAGGCAGGCAGGCAGGCAGGCAGGCAGGCAGGCAGGCAGGCAGGCAGGCAGGCAGAGCTCAAGTATGTATGCGGTAGTAACAGTACTAGTGGCTGTTTGTACTGGTGCAACAGATGCCAAATAAACAGCAAAATAATAATAATAATACTCTCGACTGGCCTATCTCTTCCCTCGCTTCCTCTACCTCTTTCGGTTCTCGCTAAGATCAGTCTTTCTAGGTAGCAGATATACTTGATCCTATGCAGTCCTGATCCCTTGGCTATGTATGCCCCGTGTGAAGAAGGTGTGATGGCTGTGATGACGAGAAGATTGCAAACGTAAAGTGTAATTGAGTACTGTTACTGGTATAAGCTGGGTGATTCTCCCTGATGTGTGGTAGCGAGCGGGAAGGCGATGGTGGTGGTGGTGGTGGTGGTGGTGGTGGTGGTGGTTAGTATTCGGCGTTCAGTTCTCTTCGGCGACCAGATCAAAAATACTCGTGTCCCCTGACTAAGTTAACCGATATGTCCTTTTGGCTCTCTATCTCGTGCACCGTCTCCCTGTCTGCAGCAACTTTCGCTTCTCAACTCCCCCCCACCTGGAAGGATCGGCCACTGACTGAAAAGGGCTGGAATTAACGAATTGACGGTCGATTATGATTATGCTGTTCAACCAAGGAACTCCCAGCTACAAAAGTTGATATTGTTCTATATCCCTCTTGCTCTTTTTCCCTCTCTCTAAGATATCTCTCAATATCTCTCGCTTTCTTTCTTCCTTTCTTCTTCTTCTTCTTGGTGGGTCAGTCTCAATCGTGGTATGGTGGGGCAAGTAACTTCTTGAGTGGGAGTGGATAGAACCGATTCAAGATGGCCGACAGAAAAGTGGCAGCAACAGCGGGAGCAGATGCAACAGCAAACAGGAACAGGAACAGCGGCAGGAGAAGAAGAGTGGGTAGATAGGTGATTGAAGTAATGAGGCCGGGGAAACGAGGATGAAGTTTAAGGAGGCAAAAAGGAGTCGACGGGATTTGAGTACCTACCTTCATACACATACATACATACCTCACATCTCGTCTTCTCTGCCTTTCTCCTTCCTCCACATACCCCCCTTCCCCTTTGCCTTCGCCCGTTGCATGGCTGGCTGGCTCTTTCTTGCATCGTTCCTCGCAATATCATCCCTGCCATATTCACAAAATTTCTTTCCTTATCTTCGCACCAGCACCGTTAGTTGCTGTGCGACCACCCCCCAGGTCCCGTCCAATTTCCCACCACGCGGCATAACGGCTGCGGGGGGAAAAAAGAAATCTACGATGCTTCTTGTGCGTCCGCGGAAACTCTTGCCGCGAAACAGTAGGTGGAATACGATACATGCACATTGAACATACATATTCTAACGTTCATAGGTATAACGGTCGAGGAGCCTGAGATTCGGCCCCAGACTTCAGCCTGTCGCGGTCAGTCAGTCAATCTTATGAAACTATGTATGCACCCCTACATGTAGTTTTACCCACGTACAAATTAATGTCGTGGTTCAGGCGCTCTACAATCGCACTCTTCGAAGACGTTTTCAACAGTGCGGTTATTTCTTCAGTTGCGTGGAAATAAGTACAGACTATCTGGTCTCTCCTACTCCCTCAGTCTCCTCGAAATCATACATATTATTTATCATCACCGCCAACTCACTGACCCCGATCAACATGATGTGTATGTACGCAAGTACTCGTACACCTCCTTACCTCCACCTAGTCATGTTGTAACCCGTATAACATCGATCCATCGAAGCTTGCACCCGCAAGAAACCTCGCCTCGCTTCGAGAGAAATTAACAACTCGGCATGCGAGCCCCTCGCGTCGTGTTAACAAAGAAAAACATCATGTACAGCATGATCTTCTCCTATGAAAACATCCAGATATGGTTAATCCCAGAGGCACATCACCTTCCTATCCAATTTTTCAGCATCACGAGAAGCTTGCCTTAGCCTATTACTTGACGACGGGGGAATGGAAGATCTTGCTTCCTAATCAGATTTGTAACTGTAACGCCAACAACTTCTCAAGGCGGCATGGTTGCAAAGCCTTTTGAACACCTTCCAGCTGAAAGCCTCGGTGATACCCGGTAACTGGGGTTTTCATTCGTTCACGAAAAAACGAGCAAAAAAAAGTTCAACACCCCCAGGTCAAACCCACCAACGAGATTCGAACAGGAAACAGCTCTTGCAGAAGATATTCGACGCGTTTCTTTTCTGTTGTCGTTGTGCCTTTGGCCGCGATGCCTGCCTACGTGCACTTCCGCCAATAATATCCCCCACCCGACCAATGTGGATTCCAGTAGTTATGTATTTATTTACAGACAATTTACCAGTACGGTCCACGATTATTAGTACCCGCGACCATTGGTTGAACTCAAACGATAGCTGATGGGAGAGATAAACCCCCGCATCTGCTAGACATTTTTCAAATCCACGGGTGCGCTTAATCCGTGCCGTCTTTTGCAACGACCTGAGCATGCCAAATGATCATCATACAAAGTGCGCGTTCCGGAGTTAAGAAACGAACGAATTAAGCTTTGCATCTGCATTGATGGTTTTCGTGATCGCCAGAACTCATAGCCGATCACTCGTGTCCTCGCCTGGAACTGCAGTACCTCAGGGTATCCCTGTTCGTTGCTTTTCTCGGTGGCTGCACATGAAACGTCCAGGGAAGGAAGTAAGGAAGACTCAACATCAAAGCGGACCCGGTTATTAGATTGATATCCTGAATTCCAGTACTTGATTCACGCCCAGGAAACGGCTCGCGGGTTAGGAAGACATTTGAAATGTGCATGGACCGGTTTCACACCTTAATGTAACGTCCATCTATCTTAGGATATCACACACACCACATATGCATCGAGTGAGTGCAGGACCCTGCGCTACATGCCAACGCCATCAGAAAAACGAAAAAGCATACCTTCCAGTTTATGTATTGGTGGGTTGCCCCGACTCGGGATCGAAATCCACGCAGTGCCTTCACTCACCGACGATAAGTACTGACGATAAGTAATGGTTTGGCTTGTGATAATGTCGTAGTGCCTTGGCTTCCGAAGGAATCAGAGACTTGGCATTTAATATACAATGCCAGATACCTACCTGAGCATATGGAGCCCCGAGTATTTGTAGAGAATCAGGCTTACACGCTTTGCCCACACAACATTCAACTCTAGTAATAGCTAAGTATTTGAGTATAATTCAATGCTAACTAACAAGTTGAATTACTTATGTTTGTGCGGAATGCAGTTTTATTTACCACCTATTTGAAGAATAGGCTCAATGCAGTTAGTTGTATATACATATACGAACGGGAGTTTCCATATGAGTTAGAACTTCACCCAGGCGAGATTCTAGCCTAAAATTAGAATTGCACTTTATCAAAAACTTCCATTCTCAAAGGATGTGCATATGCAGGATGGAATTGCCAATCAATAAAAAAAAAAAAAAGAATCAATCCATAATTTTAAAAGTTACGTTGCGAGGAGACATATCGTACTTTCTACCGCAAACTCTTATAACATAGAAAGTTAGATTGTTTACTAAACGTAGCTAGAGCATCAGTTAGATCGAAAAAATGCGCAATATTAATATGCGTCCAGAAATACGGCGCAGTCAGCGGTGAGGATTACTATTCCCCTACCACCCACTCACTATCTGCATTGATTATACCAATTACCAACAGGGTTAACACGGCATTACATCCCGCCGGTGCAGCGCAGCTTCGAGTTTGTCGGTATTGATTTCGTCTCGACCTCTCATACATACAAATCAATTTCCGACACGTGCACCGCCCCACGTGGTTGCTGGCCATAATGCTTCTTCTGTTTGTTGTGTTTATAATCAGTTACGTTTTCCGAGATGGATATTAAAATGAGTGCGTTCTGGTATTGGGGAGCTACCAAGGGCTTGTGGTATCGCAGTTATACTTCCGGGGGTGGAATTTATACTGGCCGTGATCTGATATCGGGGATACACACCATCGTGCGTGTTCTGGTGTATATCGGGGAGGTACCAAGGTAGTACTGACTGACGTTTGTTTCCCTAGTCCACAAGTGCTACACATATGTACCCACCCCTTGATCCATGTAGTACCTACGGGAACACCTCCCCACCGGGATACTCTCACGGTAACAAACCCCCTCGCAGCAGTGAAAAACTCGGCTATTAGGAGAATGTTGATGTTGTAATCCGCTACTCTCGATGGGGTATAGATATATATGCAGGTATCTACTCCAAACATTTGTGATTTACCTAAAGTAGTACAGTTTGATGTTCAGTGCAGACTGCTTATACAAAGGTAGAAATATTAGCTGGAACTGATGCTGATATACATGTATGTTCTCGCTCAAGCGGTTGCCCTACTGCTGCTGCTTCTGCTTGTACAGCTGCTGATCCCTTTGGTTAATAGGCAAGACTCCAATCATCAATACTCTAAATATAACACAAGTCCAGACACGCGTCTGTCGACAGTTTTTACCTAGGGAATAACAAGTTACAGCAGTAAGCTGCAGCTTAAGATCGAAGAATTGACTTCGACCTTTTATTTTCCCCGGAGTCCTGAACGGTGCATGGTGAAAAGTGATGCATATGGTCCGGAAGCTCCGACGATCTTCTACCCGTAGAGAAAATGACGGAAGCAGCATCAGCTGAAGCTATAAAAGCCGTTTATGTAAAGAGGTTGGAAGCAGTAACCATTGATATATAGGTTCTTACAAGTGCCCCAGGAATCTTGCAGATGCAGACGTAAGACATCGATATGATGAACTGTTCATATATGACCTCCCCTTCCAAGGAAAAAGGGACAAGCTGTGTTTCAAGGGTCATTTTATGTCCGGACATATATTCCCAGCGACATATAACCGTACATGCTATCGGGCTATCGTTTTTCCTAGAATTATATCAGTAAAGGGGCCAAAGCTCAATAATTACCTTTTTCATTAGCTATTAATACCATAAGTATTACTATACCATCATACTCACCGCATACCGCCAAAACTCGAAAAATTGGCTATCTCCGGCCAGGGATTATCACTCGAGTGATTGGTTGAATGACATTGATCTGCATCAGAAGTTTCCCATACAAGTAATTTTGATCTCTGGAAGCTAGCCAATTTTTCGAGTTATGGCGGTATATACAAACCATGGAAGCACTACCTATTCAAGAAAAGGATCCACTAGGATGGAAAGAAAAAAAAACATGCTAATTAACCCTCGACATACCGCGGCAAGATACCCAAATTATCATACTTTTGATGACTCTTGCTCGAATAAGATATTTGGTGTAGATTGAAGAAATGAAGAAATGAAGAAAAGGAAAAACACACCGATAGTTTACGCATGGACAAATATTAAGAACACCTTTACCCGCGGAGGATACCTAGCTCTGAGCTTTGGACACTTTTTAGTTTTCCTCCAGAATTCATATTCAGGTTTCCGATGCCTGAACTTGATGTACATAGAACGAACAGGTGATCAGTCATATCTAGGTCTATAGTTACAAGTAGCTACATGTAATGCTCTCATGTCAAGCAAGAACTTTTAAGACCTACCATGTACAATAATAGCTAAGTAATCAGATGCTCTCAACATGTGAAAGCAGTTTTATATGTCGAGAGACTTTAGGCTTATACGTAGACGCCTTCACTGGGGTGTGGTCAACACGGGGTATACGTATGGTCAATCTCAAATATACGCCGGAGTGATGTATGATACGCAGGGGGTTTATCGACTATGGCGCGAGAAGGCATAGGGGGTGGGTGTGTCAACTTCAGAGGAACTTTTTTTGTATGGGAATTAGAGAAAATTCCACTGTTGGGCTAGGCGCTAGTACCATTATGGGAGTAGATCTCCCAATTTCTATAGATTGATTGGCTGCAAACGCCGAAGTTTACACACCTACCCACCATAGCTTCTCGAGCCATACCTCTTTTGGTTTCCATACAAAATCTTGGAGTTGACCATACCCCGTGAAGTCGTAGCTACTATGAATCTGTACGGGTTGTGCTTCTTTATGAGTGGTTGATACCACGCTTGTGTATTATTTTATATGTATTCCAAATGTATATTACTCATTTTGGGAATAGATTGACCGAATGTGCTTATAACATGTCTATGTCAAAGCATAATGATCTAGGCAGTTGCTTATGACGCACATATCATAAAGAGCGCTCGGGCCTAGAAAAAGAATTGGTATTCGGGCGGTGGACCGGGGGGGTGGGAATCTACATGAAACTTAGCAATATCTCCTAGTGTGAACCTGGCGCCTGGCTCCTGCCGGTGGGAATCGATACCCAGAGCCGATACTATCTTAAATTGCTTTCTCCCATGTTCGAGTTCAGATGATGCGGCCCATGGTAAACCGAATGTCTTTTGTGAGGAATTGAGCTCTCAATGAAACCAAGTATGTGTATATGCAGTCGGGAGTACTAGTGCTAAGTCTAATCAATATTACCAGCTGGTTGGTAGCGAATTATTGCCCCGTCGGTGATATACCCTACCCAGGTGCTTCGCGCCGTGATCACCAGTGTGCAACTGGGTGATTAACTCTCTCATGATACAACCATTCACCACCACAAAACTTATGGCCAATATTGAATACAAGAGCAAAGGATCATGAACAGTTCGGTTCAAGATGGATGTTGATACTCCCTAGAGCAATACTCTTAGTCTTAGATAGTGTTCACCACGGCAAGAATTCGAGAAACAATGAAGCAAAGAACTCGAACTTATTGGCCCCCGAAACTTGGCGCGTCATCAAATCCAATAGAACGCGGAGGTTTCTTAGTGACGTTCGTACTCTATTCTCTCAAAGAATGGTAATGTATCACTATGACACTATCCCTTAATGGCCTGGCGAACCTGCAAGTCTCACCAGGTTAAGGGATAAGGCTCCGAATTATGAACCACCCAGTCGAAGCACACACAGGGCTCTGGATCAACATGAACCAGTCATGTCCGTCCACAGGGGTTCGTAAGGCTTAGGGCTGGCGGCAAACCTGCGTACTAAGCACTTGCCCGTAATTAACTATACCAAGTACATACATGTATGTAAATATACAATTCTACATCATACCCGTACGTACATATATATATATCGAGTTTCAAAAGTCTACGTTGCCCAAGACCTCTAGTCCAGCCTAGTAAGAGGACTTACAACTATCAGGACCGAGTGATTTGTCATGACCAACTGGCTCAGTAGTCACAGTTTGGCCTATCTACGAATAGCCCTATCTATATTAAAACGCTTACTCTCTTTCCATGGGGGGTGGGGGATGTGGGGGTAGAAAGGGGGGGGGGGTTGGCAAAGAAGCAAAAAAGAGGTGGCTGCCCAAGTCCTTATCATCCCCATCAATTGGATCTGAGTCAATCTCTCCAATTGCCCTATGTACCCAGCCAAGAAATGGCGGGCCAGATTATTGCAGTTGCTATAGATATATAAGATCTTCCGCAAGCCACGAATTCAATCGGTAGGATTATTACGGAAATGTGGCGTTGGAAAATCGTCCTGCTCTCGGCGTGATCGTCGGCCCCTGTTTCTGCAATAATTCTACTGATAGCTGTACCTCCCAGGAGGTCAGTAGTCCACAGACCGGCCAGTTGATAAAAACGGAAATGGGGAATTGCTTGTTAGCATCATGAGTCCGATAGAGTTGTCTGTGATATACATGGGAATCTAATCAGATCAACAACAGAGATACATAGTAGTGTCCTAATATGGGATGTTCCGATTGGGGATCGACTATCCTATCGAATAACCCTGGCCCTGGAAACCTTGGCTATCACTTAGATGGTAAATGGTTTTTCTTTGATTTGATAGTAGATAATGCACGGGAGAGAACCTTCGTAGAATCTATGCTTTGGAAGATCGAGATTACTATCCCGACATTCGAAAACCGTTGGGATACTAGATGCAGGCTAATGATTCGAACTGGAGTCTACCCCTTTATATTATTTTGTGGTTACTTTCATTCGTTATATGCATGCTCGCACGTCACAATTGTCAAAAGTTCCCATGATTTTTTAAACCCCTATCCCAAACAATCGCGCCTAATCAGAAACATTAAATATTCGTTTTTCACCCATCTGCTCAAGACTCAAAGTCTGCAGGTAACAAAAAATGACCCCAACAATCTCTATACAAGAAAAGAAAAGAGTAAATAACATCTACTCCTCCTTGGCGCCTCCGCGTCCGGCTCTCTCGGCCTCCTCAACAGCCTTTTTGTCTGACTTGACATCGCCGCCTTGCATTCCCTGCATGAAACCGGCCGCCTTCCATGGGCGCTTGAGGTCTCCGCTAGCAGGCTTTCCGAAGACGTGAATCTGGACGAGCTTGGATTCGAACGCACCCTTGAGAGGGATAATGCCTAAAGACAGTTAATACGAAGTACTTTTAAATGACGGGATTGGTGAAACCTACTCTGGATCAATAGAGGGTTTGTGTACTTGAAGTAGATGTGCATGACGGCCATCATCCCAACACCCATCAAGACAGCCTTGTAGGCCGCGCGCAGTTGGGTCTGATCGTAAGCACCGATGGTTGTGGTGGTGAGCTTGGGCTCCTCGCCTGACATTGGCGGGGCAGGTTCGACGTATTTCAGCGTGGTATTGTCTGCGAGGAAATTGTTAGTTTGGACGTCGCTAGTGATTTCAATAGATGAAAAGTAGGTCGAGCTGATCAAATGTCCTCGTACATCAAGAAAAGAACGGGGTCCAAATCTTGCGATCAGATCGCAGAAAAATTCTTGCAGTAAGGTGGAACAAGGCTCGAGCTTTGCGTTCTAACGGGGGCGATAAGCAAATCGAGGATACGAACCATTTTTCTTCTTGATAATCGTTCCGACATAGACGTACAGACCCAAGATAATCAGGTTAGAGAGGAGATACATCCCCCTGATACCGTTGAGCCATGTTGGATCTTCGAAGGGAATCTTCTTGGACACCTGCATCATCCCTAGGATCACAACAAGGTTGGTTCTACATTGCGACAAGGCCGATTATTAGCAAGCGAAGGGAAACAGCGCGCTGAAGATAGAAACTCACATTTGAGGGTTCATGTTGAATGTGTGTGATGGTGTTTGAACTAGGTATTGATGGGCTCGACGAGATGATGTGTGTGTGATGGAGGAGGTTGAGGATGGAAGGAAGAGATGAGGGCTAGATAGGTGTTGGAGATTCTGAAAAGGACACGAAGACGTGCGACCAATGCGTGGCGTAGGGTGTGGCAAGCACTCGTGGCGGTGAGAACTGTGGCTCAAATTTACAATGTTTGCGGGAGGGCTGCGGCCGAGAGCCCGAAAACTCAACAAAAACCGTACCTACTCTACCTCCCGGAGCATGTGCCCTATGAAGGTACATACAGCTTGCGGTAAGATTATTGTAGAAATATGGGAGGAGTCCTATTGGCTTGCCCAGCCACAGAAACCCTTTTTTTAGACCCCTGTTTCTACCTCTCGCTGTACAAGTATGTTGTATGTAGCATAAAGGACCGGTGGCGGCAAGCAGAGATTTCAGATTTGATATGCATCAATCGGCTCGGATAAAGCTGCTTCCCCACAGTTCGAAGGAGTAGAACCTTCCATCACTGTGGCTGATAAGGGGGAGAATTCCACTTGGGTGCTAGAGGCATTTTAGGGACTCACAGAGGAGCTGGATAGAAGAGAATGCTTTCCCTTGGACAATCTCACACGGTACACCGACCTGAACTCTGCGATAGAAACGAAATATTTCATTAGTCATCCCATTCGAAGAATTGGGGCTCTTCCTTCTGCACGTGACACCAAGACTTTCTGCATGCTCAGGAACCATTCCGACCCGAGCCTCAATTGACGTCCGAGTCCCGTCTTGGCATAACCTCGGCTTATGCACATAGCATCACTCGTTAAGTCGATGCTACGGTGTGTCGTTCTCTTGGGCTGATGTTACTAGTAATGTGTGGAGTAGATGCCGTATTACGATTTAACTAGAGATATCCGCCAGGTATCTGTTCGATATAGAACGTATGATCGTGTATAATAATACTGCCTAAGAGATCAGAGCTGATACTGGCCTCCATGTTTCTTGTTCATGACCGCCTAACACTCGTCGCTGTTGAACGCGACCGACAGCCTCAGCTTTCTATATTATCCAAGCAGGGTATGACCTGACCTTTTTGCATTAGTATTACATGTAAGTATATACATTATGTATTATAACTGTTTAATTTGTGTTGTTGTTGCTGGCGTTTGTAGACAGCATGTAAGGAAAGTACCTGCATCTACTCAACATATTTGAAATATGAACGGGACTGACGTTATAGACAGAATCCCGGTTATTCTAGCGACTTCTCATATAAAAAGATGGTCGGTCCGAGCCGGTCGTCAATCCCACGAAAATCGATCACCGTATTGTTTTTGACTTGAGAGTTTGTAGCGCATATTAGTAGAGCTCTCTCTCACATCATGCGAGTCTAGCGCTCTTGTAGTTCGATGGTAAAGGGCTTGCTCACTTGCCTATTAAACCTTAGTATCTCACGCAGTGTACCAATGGGAGACGCACGATGGGGTCGTCTATCCTTGCTGCCGCTAAGCGAGCGAGCCCAAGGCAACCGCATCCAGACGACCAACAGGCAACTCATTTAGGCTGGTAATTATGAAAACTATAGGCCATTACTCGGGGCATTTCAAGGTAGACAAACCCACGGGGGTACGTCTCACGGAGGAATGGAATATTTGGTTTATTTCTATCTGTAGGGCGTCGACAGCGCGGCTGGATTTACAAGAATTAGTAGATTCGAACAATTCATCCTCTTGGATTGTATCTGTCTATAAATTGAGTTTATAATTTAGTACTCAATCGCGCCTCCATGGTCGCTACACTTCGCACCTCGTGAGCATGTTTAGCGACCGTTAAAGGCGGTGTACCTACATCTGAACTCAAGTCATAAGTATGTACCTAGGTACCCTTCGCATCCTGGGGCTGAAGCGCTGAAGCATGCCGGCCGAGTTCTCACGACCGAGCTGAGTATCCCTTAAGCTGTCGCGAAAATGCTACCCCCCCCCCCCCCCCCAGAAGAGCAAATTCGGTGTGGCTTTACTAACAGATCCCGTTATCTCTCTTATCAAATAATAGATCTCTCATACAAATTTAATTCCTCTGTTATAGGGGGGTCAGCGTCGACAGCTTAAGGGATAGGCCGGCCGAATCCCTGCCCCCCACTTAGCCTTAACGCCTCCATACAATGGGCTACGCTCCGAAAGGACGCCGAATTCTTGAAGTTTAAACCACAGCCTCAAACCTTCACCTGAATTATATAAAACGGGCACTGATGGCTTTTATCGTGCCAAAATATCATATCACCATACCCCCTCTGCTTTTAAAAAACACTCACTATGTCGTTCGGATTCAGTATCGGAGAATTTATCGCAGCTATCGGAAATACCTTTAAGACGAGCTCGGAGATCAATGGTTCTAGGGCTGAACGGGCTGAGCTTGCTCAACAACTTGGGAAGTTTCGTCTAGCACTGGCGAATGCTAAACGGTTGGCTATCGATCTAAAGTTGTCTCAAATGGCCATTGAATCCGTTGAGAAGCAGCTTGCGATTGAGGCCTTAAATACTGTTCGGAGTGTAGGGGAGATAAAAAGAAAATCTCTCGATAGAAGAATCCCGGCTCCCTTAAAACCAGCCTTGAATGGGAGCCCTTTAGGTCGGGATGAAGTAGCTTGCAAGGAAGAGAACATGAGGGAGACACTGGATGACCTTAGGAAGAAAATAACGCTCTTAGAAATTCTCCTGCAAGAGTGCAACTCGTAATTATCCTTTCCACTTTTCTCTACATTACCATAGCTATTGTGTTTACTGACTTCTATGGCCTCCGAAGAGATACGATCCGGGATATCGGTGGTCCTGCCGCCCCAAAACAGCCGCTCGGTTTTGAAGTCATCTATTTTATAGACGCATTTGGTAGGCGGCGCGTTTTTGACTTTGACATGTGCAAAAAGTGCGAGGTATGATACTCACAACCAGCTTCTATCGTGTCTTGTTATAGCTTCTTCTTACTCTACTACTCTTTAACAGGACTTCCACGATCTTGTAAAATTTAATCTTAAAGACTCGACCGGAAAGGGCTGGGTAAACGCCGGACAATACGAGATATCGGATGAGACCACAGGAATTGTGTTGACCGCAAAGAACTGGGATACACTCATCAGTCCAGGGATGACGCTTTTCATGGCCATGATACTCGAAATCGAGGTTGAGGACACCGAAGGCAACAACAACTGTCCATCATGTGACTCAACACATTGTGGAGCAAAAGCCAATGGTCTTCAACAGCTGTATTGGTAAGCTATCTTTCTATACATGTAATTGTGAGTTAGACGCAACGCTGATGCATGATCCGATCTATAGCCCCGAATGCGCAGCAGTATTCAAGATCATGTCAAGACAGCAGATTGATCAACCGGTAAACGACAACATTATCACAAATGGCCGTAAATTTGACGGTGACGGTGTCGACGCAAAACCTGATGAAGAACCTACATTTCTCAAAATTTCTGACCTGAAAACCTTCCGCCGGTTTCATGTATATCAAAACATAGTTCATCGTGAAGAGCAAACTCCGTAAGCAACCAATTGGTCCCGTGGTAGACGCTGCTAATCTCCTGCCCCTCGAGATCTTCATAGACCGAGCGCTTTAGATGTGGAGTTGGCACGCAAGCTGCTTGTAGAAAGCGCGATTGATGCGGGCTTACTTACACCCTCGCAGCTGTCCGCTTTTGCTTCTCAGAATCGACTATGCAATTGAAATCGATACAGATTTATCGCTTGAGCATGGAGGCGGCACTGAGAGGCTTAAGCTCGAGGGGATAGTCATAAGCACTTAATGTGAACTAGAAATGTGGCAGTGATCCAGAGGTTTCAGAAGTCAGTCCATGCAATCAGGCCAGTCCAGCCCAGGCTATTCTCTTCATAGTACAGTCCAGTCAAATATAGGTCGATTCAGACCGGTCTGGCTACCTATTTTTGGGGGCTATATTTATACTTCTTATGCTCTTTTTAGCTATGATTCTTGGGTTTGCTTGAAATGTAATAACCATATTTGGGTCAAATATCCTAGTATTCCCTAATTCCTTTTTAGCAGGGAACGAAGTTTGCAATGTCATTGGACTACAAAACTATATATTCGGACTGGTCCAAGTTTATATAGTCCAGTCCAGTCCAGTCCTGACTTGGAAATATATGGCCCGACCCAGTGGGAAGTAAAATTAGGACCGGTCCCGAGTACGAGTACTGAGACAACTTCAACTTTAACTTCAAATGTCAGGATAGAATCAATGGGAAAGAGATTCGGAAGCGTATTGTAACCAATTATATATAACACGCAAGAAAGTTGTAAAGAAATATCTCAAGCTGCCCCCAAGCTGTTGAGTCTGAAATATGAAATGGCTTGGTCCACCCCGCCTCAGGGTACATGTAGGCTTGTGAGGTTAAAAATAAGAGCTCAAGTCGAGACTTCGAGACAAACTAAGTTTTAACTTTCACTTGGCTCGTAGATCACAACTATCTAAACTTAAACGATTGTCCACCGCGACAACTTATGTGCCACATTCGGCGCCGCCTACAAAAGGCTTTACTGGTTATCCTTACGGCGCGCGTGGGCTGAGAATACACGTGGTGTCTCGATAGCTGTACTACAGTCATCATACTACTGGTGAGAGGATTTATGGAATGGATCTGCATACATGTTGCATAAGACCCTAAACCTAGTTGTGTTGAATTCGGAAACATCATAATTTACGAATATGCTGTAGTCACATAGCACTACTATGCAGTGAATCTAGAATTTCTCTGATAGCTACATGTATGTACTATAAAAGAGTGTAATCTTACATGTAGTTATAGCAGATTTTACAACATGCGGACGTGATTGTTTATTTATGTTCACAATTCGTCACTCGGTCATGTACTGTCACTCGAGTCATGATCCATCACTCGTGTTGAGAGAGATTTGGCGAACCGGCAGAGATTCAGGGATTCAAGCCTTATCTATCATCTACATATATGTTCTATAATATCAAGAGGATATCTGCTTAACACTGTGACCACAGATTTCGCATTAAGCGCCACATTTCCTATTAAATAGGAGTTAACCGGACCGGGCTCACACCTACAGGATACACTAAGAACTCTAATATTCTACCAATAAGACCTCTCCAGGGCTCTGATGTATCCGATAACTGTGATTGAGCGGAACCGCAGGCTCTAAGCTTATCAGAACTTAATATCAGGATGTTTACACTCCGATCCTAGGTTTTATCCTGACTCCATATATCACTCTTTAGGTGCCAAAATATTCGTCGGTACACAATGTTTAGAGAAAACCATCTGAACCTTGAAATAACAATTCTCTTTAAAAAGTATAGTTTCACATGGTTAAGTAAAGTTAAACAAGGCACAACTATTGAGTTCCAGAGGCATAGAAACTGGTCTGAAAATCTCAGAGACCATCAATCGGCCATCAACGAACTCTAAATTTGTACATAGGGAGCCTATGTTGCTCCACACCCCGTGGATCCCTAATAATTCCATCAAATGTCCCCTTTTCGGGCATGATATCCCCATTGTTTTTCGCACACGGGCAAGTGATAGAATCAGCCACCGCGGCATTGCCGACAACAACCCCAGAAACGCCCATGGTGATGTAATCTGCAAATTGCGCTCCATGATTGATGAAATTTTGTGTTTGAGTATCGAAGATATCGCTTACAGTCAGCTGATCACCTGCATCGTTTAACATGCCAGTCGGAATCTGAATGTGAAGGCGAAGACCCATTGGTGGTGCACCACGAACCCAGGTAATGACACCATCGGGAAGAGGGACTTGGTTCTCTTCAGACTTAACAAGGACAAGTGTACTGGTGTCGAATTTTTGCATATAAATCGCAACAGGATCTTTGATCGAGACACTGTTACCCTTGCGAGCAAGTTTGTTGATGCGAGCTCCAATCTAAACATACTATATCAGTCCATAACGTTCTTGTGGCAGGGAGAGATCATATTTTTGCAGGACTGTACTCACCATAGGATCCGAATTTCGAGCCGCATTCCCGTACTGTGAGCAATTGATCAGCTCCAAGGGATCTACGATGAGTGTTCCGTCTTCCTTGATGCGCATGACCGTAGACTGAGCGGCGATATCAATTTCTGCTGACAGAGTGTTATTGGATTGAACCAGATGTGCGATTGTACCGGAGGTGGAAGACATGTTCCAGTAATTCATCGGGCTATAAACTCTTGGATTCCCTATGCATATGGCTATCTTAAAAATACAAAACGTTAAACTGACTATGTCTCAGAGGGAGGAAGTTCAGCCGGGTTGCCCACAGAAAACAGAATCGACGGCTTGGATTTATCAGGGTCGCTCCTCGCATGCATTCCAAGAGGACACATCTTATCTTGGGCCGTTTAACGGACATGTAAACGGTGCTCTTGTAATGAAGGAGCTAGAGAAGTCAGTCGTACCCATGTTTCATCGAGCTAGAGGTAGGATGGCATAACTAACAGTTGTATGTTAAAAGGCCTTGGTATCATTGGGAATCAGCGCAGGAACCGAACTTCGATCAATGCTTCAGTGATGCCGAGAAAGCATCGTTCATGAGTACGCCATATATCTCCTCCGACGGTAATCTCTTTTCGGGTGTCAGTGATGCAAACAAAATCCAAATCACCATACAAAATGGCGTGACCAGATGGTACACTCAACGTTCAAAAAACCATTTCCCGGAGCCTTTAGGAGGCGCTGCGTCAAGCACGAGGGTTATCCAGCGGTGGATGTCCCACGTGTTGTTAACCATAACTGTCAACATCACTGTTGCCGCGGTGAACACAAACTTGCCTGGCATGGCATGGTTCGCACCTGCGGATCATTTCATCAACAACATGATGCTCAAACTATCAAGTTTTTCGGATCTTCTGGTAAAGTCTCATACTTACAAGTCCTTGGTCCACTTTCAAATGGTTTCTAACATCAGTATTAGCCTGAGTATCCAAAGCTAGCTTTCACGGGTGACAACTACCAAAAGGCAGTTGATGAACTTGGTCTGTACCTTATACAAGAGAACATGACCAATCAAGCTATCCCGGGATATGAAAACCTTACTGCAAAGGCAGGTACACTTGGCGGCGGGAAGGAAGCCGGAGAGCACGAGCAGCTCAGTTTTGTCGCTGTGAAAAGAGGAGAAGGTTTACCATTCGTGGCCCTACAACCATCATATGAAGATGCCCAAGGTGCGCAGAAAATGCAATCCATCAGTAGCACAGTATCTCTCCTTTCGGAAGCAACCTTCAACGCTCTCATGATGGTTGATATCTGTAACCCCATTTACTCATAGAGGCGCGGAGTCTTGATGCAATATGTGCCAACGACTACAACTTGGAACCCTACAACTGGTTACGACCTAGAAGCAAATTTCATCAAAGTAGTTGAAGCGTCAGAGCACGCCAATGATGAAACTATGCCGGAATACCAGTTCCTCCAGCTCTGCAACGTGCAGACAAGTGTACACAGAAACAATATCTCAAGGTACTTAACAGCGGTGGCGTCACGGTTGAGCACTCCTGAGGGATTAGTAGAATACATGACTCTTGCGGAGTCTCGCCGGCGAATTTTTCGACCACTTCCGTTACAAGAGTTTGGTTATATATTGCCGTATGCACTGAATTACGCCCCAACTAAACCTCTTGAGATGACTATGTCCGGCACTACCTAAGAAATGCCCCAGCGAGGAACCGATTTTATTGAAAGCTGGAATTCGACCTTATGGGGCGACAACCCACAGTTAATTCCTGTAGGCCCCAGCTTTGTTCCCAGTACTAGGAGAGCTATCCCGGGACGACCATGCATAACAGACCTTCCTCTCAGATATATCCCATGTGAAGGTCCTCGCCGTTTTAAGAAGACTTCCGGTTGCCCTTTCGCTTCTAAAGTGAGACCTGGAACAATTATTCGATGCTAATTATCCGTTGGTATTTATAATTACCTGTTTTCTCTCGTGTAATTTTGAGGGGCTTGGTAGTGGGAATTCTGTTGACATTGGGTTTTGTTTGTGTTGGTTATTGTGTCTTTGAGTTTTATATCGAGATTCTGTTATGAGCATGTCTATTGAGATAAGTCTATGCTTCATAACTTGATAAATAACCTGTTATTTCCCATGTAGTTCCCGTTATACTTATATCACAAGTTCGGATTTTCTGTGTTGATAACTCAGTCCTGCAGTGATTCATGGTCACGAATCAACTGAAATCAGAGTCAATACTCTCACGAAAATTATACACAAATAATCAAATTGAGGGATATATCTGCATACAGTGAGTGACTGATACCAGCTAGCGTGCAATGTGGGTGTTTTATTTCTTCGACGGAGAGAACCAGTCAAAGTCGTCTCTTTACAACGTATTAAAAGGTTGGAAATGAAACTACCTATCCCTAGTTCGAACTTGACCACATTGGGGCTGCTTCAAGCCAAGCACCTCGATGGAGTCTGACGTAGTTATATAGAATGAATATCCTATAGTTAACTAGCTATATACATAAGTACCACACCAGGTATCACATGTAGTTAGTCGCGAGGAAATCCTACATATGTACATGTAGTTATAGTATAGAGCTCCAGCTGTATTGGTCAGCCCTCGACATTATCGTACCGACTAATCGTACAGGCTAGTCGTACCAACTAATCGTACCAACTAATCGTTTGCGCGTACGCATGCAGTATCTTTTGTTTCACGTAGATCAGTCTAGCGATCTTAACCTAGCTATAGTACACGATCCTCCTGTCACACAACATACATTCTATACCCACTTCTATCTGAGCTCATAACCATGCATGGAAAACATCTTTGGCCAGTCAAATTCCTGATGATTAAGCACATACGAAATACCTACAGCGACCGCGGGGACTGAATTGCCTTGCATGAATTCGAAAACTCTCAATTTCAATTAACAATTACAATCCAACAAGATCCTACCATGTACCATCCTCTGTCTTGTGGATCCTATTTTCCCGTGCGGCCTTTGCTAGTATATATATAAGGACTTATAAATACTAATCACAATTATTTTGCGGTTTCGAGTTCTTTCATCTTGTCCCTTCTGAATAGCCGACTGCCTTTTATCACTTAGATCAATCAATCCCTTCTATCTTCTCTCGTGGTTATTAAGAAATCAATGGCTTCAGGATTCAAGAGTCTTCCGTTGGCCGACAATGGACATGATACCCAAAAAGCAGGTGAGATCGAACCCACATGGCAAGACAATATCTCAAAGTTATTCAGTGCACCCTACTGGCTTCCTGAAGGCACTCGCGAATCCGTCGGAGCTTCATGGGTCGCCATGATGAAATTCTGGGGACCCACCGACCTGTCAAACTACGATCATGTCAAGAAAAAGGCCACATCCATCTACCAACACTGTCGATTTAAATCCATGCCTCTCACAGATGATCCATCTCAATATTTCCCCGAAGAAGCTCTCGAGCTCATTCGGCACTGGACAAATCAAGGGTACAGGAAAGTCTCGACGGACCCCATTGTCCGTGAGACCGTCATTCCGGAGCCCCATGATCCACCAGTGACATGGAGGAACAGAAAGGATATCCGTAATCTGACTCCAGAGGAACTGCAGACATACCGGGCTAAGCTCGAAGATATACTTGGGGTTGGGCGGGTTAAATCCAAGTGGCAAGAATTAGAATTTCTGCGTAAGTTGCTCAAATCAAAAATAAGATCACGCAATACTGTCTAATGGCTAAATTGAAACAATTTGGGCAGATGCAAACTGGTGTCTACATTACCAAGAGGCAACCTTCCTATGGCATAGGGCTTACCTTCGATACGTCGAGGAGCTGATCGACTTTCCTATCCCTTACTGGAATTGTCTCGCAGCCGAATCCAAGGACCCAAACTCGGAGTTTTCAGGACTTCCGAAGGAGTTCTGCGATGAGGAATATGAACACCCAACGAAAGGGACGAGACCGAATCCTCTTAGGTACGCTCTTGCCCTCATCGATGATCCAGATGTAGAGAAACATAGATTTGTAGAGCGGGACCCTATATTGTATTCGAGAGAGGCCGGTGAAGAGTGGAACCGCAAGGTTAGAATGTTTGAGCTTTATCAGGAACAAATTGGATTCTCTTTACAGCAAAAAACATACAGTCAGCCGATGAATATAACGCAAGAGCAAGGGCTACCTTATGGGACCTCTTGGGCAAGTATCCCCGAATTTGACGAAGAGCAACTAGACGAAGACTATCCTTATCGGGCAGAATTTGACGGGCTATTCGAACAACCTCACGATAACATTCACGGGTGGATTGGCCCTGATATGGTTTGTGATAAGTTCTCAAGCGCTCCAAGTATTTCAATCATGTTTTCTGAATCATTGAATAGGCGAACAATTCCTTTACCGGATTCGACCCTGTGTTTCTAAGCTATCATGGAAACATAGACCGAATTACCGAAATATTTCTCCGTTCTCGGCGTGGTCTTACCTTTACATCAAGCTTTCCCCTCCGCCCTTTCATCAACCAAGCTCGTGAATTGAGCTATTCTGACCCACGCGAATATATCTATACTATGGTTGGGGACACCTAGAGACGGAAGGGTGCGACATGGTCCCCAGTGAAGATCACCTTCCTAGTCTAGTAATTACTTGGCACCAAATCGCTCCGAAAATGCCAAGACAGTAGATTTATGCCAAGATATTGGCCAGCCATCAGTGGTCTATTCCCAATTGGGTAATTATGTACTAAAGTACTTCCTAATCAGGTAATTATTGGTGTGGAAGTGCGACATTCAGTCAGCCTCTCACCAAAACCCAACTTTTAGAAATTCAATATCTCAACAACCACAACAGATAAAATTAATTAGGCTCTGTTACAGTATTATTTATCTCTTTTTCTATCACCCTACAGAGCTTTTTAATTTTAATGTGTTGTGGTGGTTGGCCATTAAGCCTCGAAGTTCGGCAACTTTGACACTCCGGCTCAGGGTGTCCCCAACCATACAATCGGTGACATGGCAAAAAATACGAAATTTCACAATTACATGTATGCCCCACCGGCCTCACCCGACTAAGTGCATCCCCTACCAGCTATCAAGGGAAGTGGCAGGACCAAAGGCACACCATACGCTATTTTTAGGAATGTGCGCTGCAATAACAAGAGTTTTCATGTCGATGTCTTTACCCCATTCGCAACATCTCTTAACCCGGATCCAGCGGAAAACCCTCATTATATTGGAAGAGATACCAGACTAGGCATGGGTCCCGGTAGCAGCGGGAAAGGACCGGAGAATACAGATAGGTGTGTTAAGAAGGGTATAACAAGGATTTTGGATGCTTCGAAATTTGAAGAAGTGTTACGGAAGGGTATTAGTAGTGATATGCGTTTGAAACAGGTGGTTACTAGTTTGGAGACAGGTATTGTCGTGCCTGAAGAGGTGTGGATGTCGTGGGATGGGTTTCAGGCGGAGTTAGTGTGGGGGAAGCTTTGACCGGGGGGAGCGTTGGTCGGTCTACAATAGTTTTTTCTTTCTTTCAATTTACACATATGTCCCTTCGAGCTACTGCAAATAAATATGAAGGCAAATTTTCTTGGTAGCAGTTCATGATCAAAGTCCAGTAATGCACGTTTAGGGTTTCCTTGTACAATTGTCGCTCGCTGTAAATTCGATAGTGATATGAATATGTGGTGCCCATCGCGATGATATTACATCAGTCGAAGGTGAATTTACCTCTAAGAGAAGTTCTTATCCAGCAGGTATCAAGAGCCAATTTAGGCCCTCTGGGGTTTGTTTTGTTTCATTGGTTGAATCATGTATCCTTAATCATTGACATCCTGTACCTGATATGGTGCGCCCACTCTTAAAGGTGACGAAAATCGGGCGAAAAGTCAAGGGCTTATAACTTTGCCAAAAAACAAATTAAAAAAAATCGGTAAATAAAAAGTGTAGTACTAGTGATGAACTTTGGTTTTTATTTCCAGATTTTTGATATCTACTTTAGTTAAAAAGTTATAAGAGTTTGAAGTTGCGGATTTTTGTATGTAAAGGGCGCCAAGACTGAGCAAAATGGAACAATATTATACCCATTTATACCTCTTAAAAGTGAATTGCAGCAGGAATGCAGCAAAGTGGCTAGGAATAAGCCCTCTCATTGGCCTTGGAGTTCACCTTGCAGTCACGATTGTTCCACTTCCAGATACCGCCGTGTCACCATTAAGAGTGTGCGCACCATACCTAAGGAAAAAGGAACTCCACAGTTCTCGTCTTTTTACTCAAAGTGTTCTCTACAACATCGCTCGAGACGATACTAAGCCCCAGTCATATCTCGCCTTGTGAAATGAAGATACCGGTCTCCTCTTGTCTTGGCCGTCTCGAGACAGGCTTGATAAAATCGAGTGAGTATTTGTGAGCCAAGACCCTAAAAAAGGCTTTGCACATCATAATGTCTTTATCTCTTCCCTGATCCTTCTATGGCACGAGCAGGGGTATCTTTGTAGGTTTCAGGCCAGTCTCGAGACCAAGAATATTCGGTGTCGGGCTGTTCGAGGTAAAAGTATCAAGACAAGACTTCAAGACACCTCATCTCGTAGAGATCGAGAACACCAGGCTATCCACTCACCAAATCCCCACTCAGAATATTGCGTGATAAATATCATTCCACTCAGACATCCTGTCCGGGGGCAAAGCCTACTTGGCGCTCATCATAACAATGTGAATGGATGACTGCGTACGGTATTGTGGTAGCTAGTTTCTGCTATCTTGGCGATGGGGTTGTTCTTTCGCACATATTGACTGACGGATATCAACTGGACTTACAGTAATAGCAACACCTATACGCCTACCAGGCTATCCCTTCGTCCGGCGATGCTACCCACCTATACTTGAACGCCACAATTTAGGTGTGCGGTCGATCGATTAATGGGATGGAGCGCGGGAGCAGAAGTTGTAATCTTGGCACCGAAATTGAATTGGCTGCATCTTTCGCCAGATGGAGGGCATAGGGATGGCGACACTCTTGAACATAAGGCCTTAGCTATCATAATTACTGACAGGCTAAAACGGCAGATACTAAACACCCCCGCACTAGGTTTAGTAAACTACTATTTCCTATCTTCGGGGGCCGGTTTTTAGCGGGGTTGCCTACTAAATTTTGGTAAGACTGGTTTATTTAAAAGTACGAGCCGTTAAATTTGACCAACCAGGTTTTTAAAGTCCTATTTTCCGGTGAAGTGGCCAACAGATTGACTGAAAAAAAAATTTCTCTTCGGCCAGCTTTTGTTAAGCCGTCGTCCAATCGCCTCTAATAGCTAGTGTTAAATAAAAGGTCTCAGTTATCAAATAACAAGTCATCAACTTCTGTAATAGCTAACTTATTCAGCCTTGGAAAGTCGATTGGTCAAAAAGTTGTTTGCTGCGCCCATGAAGATCAGGTACATGTATATAGTAGGTATTCCTGGTCCGCTAATTCATGCGTTGCCTGCCTATTCGCCGCCGAGAATCGAGTGACAGTCCATGAACATATCACTTGCAGGTGAGTCTCGCTTGCTCAAACCAGCCTAACAACTGCACTCCATGTCGACCACACTCCTTGTGCCTTTTGTATCGGATTTATGCAGGTTTCATGCGTTGCTCTTCTCTAAATATAAAAGTCAGCTAATCTAATCAGATCACTGCCTATAATGACTAATCCTAGACCTAAAACCCAAACCAAAGCCAATGAGCAAAGTGCATATTTGCGCAGCTGCAGCAGACCGGCCACCGTCCGCTTCCCGACAAGCACTGTGACCGTGACTCCAGTCACATTGCCTAGGGCATGTGCACTTCCGCAAACTCTCCGAACGAACATGTACCCACAAAAGCTCCGAGCCGTGTCAAGTAACACCTCCGAGCCGTACAATGCCTATGAAGAGTACATGTAAGTACATGTAGGTTCGTCGTTGCTGCCTCACCTGAAGTGAAGCTGGAATCAAGACTACCTACTTCACCTCGCCTCCGCTCCCGCATCTCTTCATTCTTACAGTGGTAAAGCGCGCACGGGTGTGCATCGAAGCGAGGCCGGATGCACATGTATGTGAGAGGGAGGATCGAGAATAGATATCGCGAGATGGGAATTGGGACTTTGTCTATCCAGGTGTTCACATTTTCTATAAATACCAGTAGCTGAGTTGTAAGTTTTGTGGCTGCCGGTGATTGGCAATGTGTGGTTTCTAGTAGAGTAGAGAAATAGATTCTTGCACTTTCGTCTGATCCTGTGGGTGATCCGCGTAAATGGGTGTTGGATGTATCGTGGCCAAGAGGACCAGTTGTTGACTTTGAGGTGGTTGAAATAAGCTTTTCTCAGCTGTTTGTTGCATGCAGATAGGATGGTTAGTTTCCGTGCTGTAAACTTCTTTGGGTCTGGGGGATCTGGAGGATGTTTCGCTGACTCCCTTACACCAATTGCAAAGAAACACTACATGCTAGTATTGATCATGAGCTGGTGTAGGGAGATATTCCTGTTGACTTGTAAAGTGATATATACGGTATATATGTACGTCCTAGAATACATAACATAAGTACATGTACATATTATGATGTACGTAGTCTCCAGGTAACCTTGCCCCCGGATCACCCAAACTGTGGTGTTGATATATATCATCGTGAGATACATATCTCTTCATGTAATTGAATTATAAGCGAGATTTAAAAAAAAACTGGAATCCTCCCTAGACTGTCTAATACATCAATCATCTCCCTGGACATCGAATGAATGTAGTAAGCCTTATATACAGTCGGGATGGGTTAGGGTTTCTTCGGGTGGCCAGTGCTAGTGAGTGCCACACGGCCTACTAGGACAAATGTGTCTAAACCACGAACTGTGGCTTGAAGCTTGTTTCGACGCCTAGCTTGTCTACGGGTAAACAGCTGCAGGAGAACGTCAAAATACCTACATGTACCTACATACCATGCCCTTCTCAAAACGTACACCATCTCGATCCTGATTTGTGAGTCCTGTGCGGACAGGATCAATCAGAACACCGACCACTCCTCATCTTAAGAGCCATAAGATGGCGAGTTGCTTCGAGCTTCAGAGCCGGCCTGAATGCATGGCTAGCTAGGATGCGTCTCGTTCAACCGTTAAGGTTATTGGACCCTGCCTTGAGATGTAATCAAAGATTAAGCATTCAATCATTAACTACATGTAGTGCACTTCTTTCGAACGATGATCAGCTATCGGTCGAGAACTAAGCTTTTCTCAGAATCATCCACCTTGAGAGGTCTTAGCTCACACTCTTTGATCGGGCCGTACGACAACGGTTATCTCCACCACCGAGTTATCACCGGGGGGTTGCAGAGCTTTTTCAAGACAGATCGTCTGTAGAGAAATGCGGGACCCGAGACATACATATATCACTCGTCCTTTCCACGGAATTTACTCCGAGACGGAATTGCGTTGTGGTGGCCACAGAATGGGTTGGTAGTACACAGGAATCCGCACATGGTTGACCCAGTGGTCGGCGGCTTGTTTATCCGATGAATAATCAAGATCAGGTTAGGGTTTGGGTTAGTAGCCATGTGCTCTACTCTATTGCGGAGCCAGAGGAACACATTCCATCGATGATAGGGGGGGTGCGCATGATGAGCAAATATCAAATAAAGTTAGGCAGACGTTCGATATATTGATTTAGAGGTAGAATATTTCTACACGCGCGTTCGTCTTGATTAATTCTCCGAATGGACTGACCGATGGTAATATGGTGATGCATGTGCTGTTCTTAGCTTTGTATGGATAATCAGGCAGGAAAGTACAGAAAGTGCGAGGTACAGGGAATAGAGGTGTAATTTATATTATGGGAGTGCCCACCGCGCGTTTATCTTTAATTGCCTGAGCTCTGTTATTTGTTTTGTAAGTTAATTGATTCTAACATGCTGATATGCAAGCAGCTGCTGCACAGAATTGCCAAAATACCCTTCTCAAATAGCAACACTGTGAAGAGAAAGGCGCCAAAACAACTATTCCATAGCTCGGACTATATTCGCACAAATAGCCGCAACACCTTAGCTACCAAGCGCTAGCATACCCCCCGTCAATTGAGTACATACATGTATGTGCTCCACTCTATATACTATAGTGGATTCATTTACGGTCCCCTAGCCGCCAATTCGGGCCACCAAGGTATAGCAATACAATAGCCGCGATTTGAACGGGCTACTCTCACGTTGATCTTCAACTAATCCCTTGCAATTGCCTCTCCCCACATACACATCAGCTACGCGAGCTCTAGCTCTCTCTCAATTGGCAATTGGGTCTGTGCCAATGTTGAAATCGATTGATTACAATGTTAATTGCGTTCTTTTACACCCCGGTCCCCTGGCATAAAGGAATTACCTAACTACCTCTGGGGGTAATATAACACTACCCCGGAATCATTTCTTGGTACCTGCCTTAATACTACTCTACAACGCCCCAGATCCGCATATATGCGCGGGGTAAACGGGCCATCATATCATTGCCAGATCTATCGGCGGTAGAATAAACTCTGCAGGTTCCATGGCAAAGACCCGCTGCTTCCATAGGCATAAACAACATCCCAGCCAACTACTGTATTTTTCCGCTTCGTCCGTCGATTTAGCCCCCAAATTTAAGTTAAACCTGGGTTTTGAGGATGGGATGAAGGTATAAAGAGCTTGATCTCGCCCCATTAAAAGCAACTTTTTGTTCTGTCCTCACCACAGCAGTCAGTCAATACAGCAGAATGCGTTCTTCCACCATGAGATCCAGCACCCTCCTTGCCCTCACGGCGCATGTCCTCACCGCCGCCGCCCTCGTCGCAAAAGACGGAAAGACCGGGAAGCTTCCCGCGTTGGGCTTCAACTCATGGAACGCCTTCCGCTGCGACATCCACGAAGACAAGTTCCTCGTAATTCAGCCTTACTCCGTCCCTTCTTCTTCTATAGCTAACACATGAATTCCCACGTATATAGATCGCGGCGCAGGAAATCATAGACCTGGGCCTCAAGGATGCCGGTTACGAGTACATCAACATTGATGACTGCTGGTCGCTCTTGTCCGTGATAATGCCACAAAGCGCATTCAGCCAGACCTTGAAAAGTTCCCCGATGGCATCAGCGGAACCGCGGACAAAGTCCACGCCCTCGGTCTCAAGATTGGGATCTACTCTGATGCCGGAGACCTCACCTGTGCCGGATATCCCGGGTCTCTTGGCTATGAGGAGATTGATGCGGAGACATGGGATGAGTGGGGTGTTGACTGTACGTTGCCTATATCCTTATGGTGCATGTGGGAGTAGCGCTGATGAGAGTAGACTTGAAATATGACAACTGCAATGTCCCCACAAACTGGACAGACGAATACCAATACTGGCCCGAGTACTGGTATGGTGACCACGAGGACCAGGTCGGTGGTACCCCCGCCCCGGCCGGCTACGACTGGTCGACCTCAAAGACGGCGCTGCGCTACAATCGTATGCGTGATGCCCTCCTGGCGCAGTCGCGTACGCTGTTGTACTCGCTTTGCAACTGGGGACACTCGCACGTTGAGCAGTGGGGCAACCAGACGGGACAGAGCTGGCGCATGTGGGGTGATATTGTCCCCATCTGGGAGGGGAAGGATGATTATTCATGGGGTTTTAGTAAGTTTCTCGATTCAAAACTAATCCAAATTGCGAGGCTTGAAACTGACTGTAAATGTTGATAGTGCCAATTATCAACCATGGTGTCTTCTTCTTGGAGTGGAGCAACTTCTGGGGACACAATGATCTCGACATGCTAGAAGTCGGGAACGGCAACCTGACGGCCGAGGAGACACGAACTCACTTCGGTATCTGGGCTGCCCTCAAATCGCCTCTCCTCATCGGCACACCCGTAAGCTCTCTCCCTCCCCCATAAAACCCCTTAAGCTAACACTATGTGACCACCAGCTCGATGTAATTCCCGAAGAAGATCTCGCGGTTCTCAAGAACTGGGAGATCCTCGCCTTCAACCAAGACCCCACCTGGGGCGCTCCCGCCCTCCCCTACAAATGGGGGATCAACCCCGCCTGGACCTGGAACCAGACCCATCCCGCCGAGTTCTACAGCGGTGGTTCCGAGCGCGGCATCCACGTCTTCATGATGAACACGCTCAACAAGACCGTGACCAAGAGTGCTGTCTGGGGCGAGATTCCCGGCCTCAAGGCAGGCAAAAAGTACGAGGTCACTGACATGTGGACACACAAGAAACTCGGAAGCTTCTCCAAGAAGCTTGATGTCAAGCTCGCGGCCCACGATACCGCCGCATTGTTGGTGACGGAGGTTGGCGGAAAGCACCCCTTCCCTAAACCGGCAGGATTGCCAAAGCCGAAGATTTACGAGACAAAGCCGAAGAGGTGGTTGGCACCGGAGCTCATCTAAGGAATGGATGGTGGGATGATGACACGAACGAATGGGCGAGTGTTGTAGAAATGATAGACATCTCTGTAAATTATGTGTTGTGTTGTGAAAAACATTAAATAAGTGCAATACTATGACTGGTCCACTGTCTCGCGGCTAGCCGGTTCTGTGCATGCCGAGAATGTTGCTACTCTCGGACCGGATTAATTACTATTCTCCCTAGCTTACTCGAGACACCGGAACACACTCTAGAGTACAATATTCTTCCCCTGCCATCGTCACCAGAGACACTGACAGCGAAATGTGAAGCATGACCCCATGAACCACAGGGCAGGTACGCTGAGGTACCTACCTACTCTACCTGCTGCCCCTGATCTGTTCACAATTCACCGACCTACCTTAGACGTGTTACATCATTGGGCCCGAACCGCGTGGAGTGTTCCATCCTCGCTGGAAGCACAAACTCGGAAGTGCATGTCTCGCTCCGGGTCACGTCACATCGTCACGAATTAAATCTCAAAACTAGGCCTACCATGTGCCCAATTGGTAATTGGTTATCAGTCCTAATCACGGGTCATGCCGGGGCTCGTGGGAGAGAGATGGAAAGAGAGGGATCTGGGATGGAGAGAGTCAAGCACGTACATGCTCTACATTCCTGCTACTCCACATAGGTAGAATACTGCTCGGGATTACATACTGCCTGTACTCTATGTATGTACCATGGCTATTTCAGCTCCTCTCGGGGCCAAGCCCGTATTCAAGCCGCTAGGCGTTGTAAGAATGCATGTATGTAGACCTCACCACATAAGTACAGCGCCGGACAGTCAAAATCAACCCTCATGTTCTTTTCAAGCCAGAAACTAGTCCTAATCGGGTAATAATGATCATCTAATTATCCCAATATGGTAAGAATTATCCCAAATTAATGTGGCCGCCTTGGCATAAAGCTATTAAAGTTATTATTTCACACCTATGTTTTTTTCGGGCAGATTGCACCAAATGTTTGAGGGGTCATAGTGCAGCCAGTTCTTAATTATTTTAAATCCCCTTTTATGGGGATGTTTACAACTATGATTAGACCCATTTTACAAAAGAACATTATTTCTGGACAAGTGTTGCGTTGTTGAAAGTCGATGGGGTGAAGGGGAGTCGGTGGTTGCTCTGGCCGGCTGGTTTTGGCTGTCCGACACCGTACATACTTCATGTGTTGTGTTTCTAGGCAGAATTATACCTACATGACATGCATATACTACATCATACGTCGTAATTCATGCTGACAATTAGTCCGTCGACCTAGAGTAGGTAGACATTCAACAAACATACTTCTTGTTCTCGACATATCTACTTAACTCCGGATGAACACAAGGCGTTTATCTCGTACAACACAACGATGAAGACGATGCTTTCCTTTTTTTGTTCATCAGCATCCATCATGCAACGAATCGGATCGTCACTCGTAATTTAGGTTCGCTCCAGTTAGAACCTTGCACTACCATACAGTTTACTCAAGGTGACAAGAAGGGAATGTGTCCGCGAGCTTGGGCGGGACGGAACGATATGTGCACTTTGCGTGACGCTGTTGCGTGTTAAAGGGGAAATCGGTATTGATTGGCGCTGGTTGGGATTCGTGGGCAGCGGGAGACGACAGGGAGAGATCTTGGGTTGGGGGTGGCGCGGAGCACGTAGACGAGCCAATCACCTGGATGGTGGTGTCGAAATAGCTTTCATGAAATCGTGGTATTCATTATTTCTTCTAAAAGGCTAAACATCTAATTGTTCGTGTGTATCTCTAGCTACATTGAAGATATTTTGTTTCTTTTTTTTCATTTCGTGGTACGCTATTAAAATTAAGCAGACTGACAAAGGTACATAACATTTAGTTTCTTTTTTTTTTGTTCCGCCAATATCATCATGGTGGAGATATCCGCCCGCCCACACCCGTCTCCTCCCCCCCCCCCCCGAATTCATCAAACCAACCCAGCCCATTAACCAATAATCAATAAAACAAAGGAAAAAGGACAAAAGAAAAACGCCATAGTACCCAGAAATGGAGTCCTTTATGACCTGTACCAGTTACCTGCCGGGTCACCCAAGCACTCACCAAGCGTCACCACTAATTATCACACCTGTTAGCCAATGCCCCCCAACCCACTCAGCCAGCAGAGAAATTGGAAAAGACATACTCCTGTATCCAGCTTCTGCAAATCTCCTAATCATATACGGCGCCAGGTCATTGCTCGTCTGTGGGTGGATATCATGCGCAATACTCAAAAAGCTCCTCGAATTCGGGCTCGTTCCTGCCATCGCTCTGTCGACGTTATCCTTGCTGTTCTGGATGTTGCCAAGCTGGTTGTAGTCATCGGTATCTAGGTCGAAGTAGATTATATGGTACCCAAGGTCGGCCAACGTCGCCTGGCATGCGCCGTTGCATGAAGAGTACGGAGGCCTCATGTATGTAGGGAAACGGCCGATGATCTTAACAAGCGCGGCTTCAAGATGTAACATCTCGTTTCTGCGTGCCTCCTCAGAGAGAGTAGAGAGATCCTGGTGAGACCAGGTGTGAGAGGCGACCTGATGCCCGTTGTTGTACATGCGCTGGATCACTTTGTCCCAGCCCTTTGACGGGTCGTCGATGTTGCCTTTATCGAGGTTGCTTCCGCTATATATTTACCTCTCAGTACCAATTCAAACCAGTAAAAAGTGGAATATTTGCTTACGTGACGAAGAACGTTGCCTTTGCGCCAGCACTTGCCAAAGTGTCGAGGAGATTGTTGGTGTATCTGCATTTTACGGATGATTGTTAGCGAGGGTTAGGGCTGGGAGGTTGCTCAGAGAGGCTTACAGGTATGGCCCGTCGTCAAACGTCATGGCAACCGTCCCAGGGTTTACACAACGATAGACACCGCCGCCGCCTAGAGAAAGTTAGTAAGCGTTAAAATTAGGTATGAGATGGAATTGGGAAACATACCGTAAAGGACGTTCCCGTTCTTCGATCTTGCAGTGCCTGATGTGCTGCCGCCAGAGGTACCAGCATTGGGGGCATCGCAGCGCTATAGAATAGTTAGCAGTGAAAGTTTATGGATAAAGATATATAATATCAACAAGTACTTACACCAAACTGAGCCTGGCAGCCAGCACCACAGTATGCTGGGGTATCGCCGCACCATCTGTTATTGAATTATGAGTATTTTGCTGTGTGTTGTATGGAGATGTACCAGGTTTTTTTCTTACCCGTTCTGAGAGCAGCAAGAACCACCGACACCACCTGAACTACAGGTTTGACCCTTGTTGACACCAGCGCCGGTGTTTCCACAGGTGGCATCACTGCTACCACGACTCTGTAGGTTTTGGAAGGCGGGGGTTGCCAGCGCGAGGGCCGGAGCGAGTGTTAGGAGGAGGGTGGAAAGATGCATTTCGAACGAGTGTGTACGAGACTGAGTATTAGATTAAGGTGATTATATTAGTGAAGATTGAACTGTGTGATGGAGAATATTGTGGGGGAGGAGGACCGATGGGGGGGTTTATATGGTGGGACTTGTAGAATACCAAGGCCAAGCAATAGGACTCTATTGTAGAAGAGGAAATATAGAACGAGAGAGACAAAAAAAAAAAGAAGAGCAGAGAAAAAGCACAGAACAGAGACAGCACAGCAGGAGCAGGGCAACACAGTTCAGATGGATGCACCAAGATTGGGTTGGGTTTAGTTCGGGTCAGTAGTGCAGAATATTGTGAATCCACTCCAATTGCGAGTACTCAAACTCTTACGGATCAATGCCTTGAATATCCTGATTCGTAGAAGCTGCTGTTCAAACAAACCTTGCAGACGGCTGGGTCAACGAGAGTCCAGAAGGAAAATACCTACTCTAGTTCCGCGTCAATGAGAGAGAGGGGAAAAAGAGGTTGTTATATTTAGTGACGGTTCGCCCTCTTTCAGGGGGCCGGGATACTGTCTCGGCGGTCTCGGCGGCCTCGGCGGAGAGAATCGATTGGGTGCAACTACATTTGACATTTTTATGTTGGCCGACTACTTCCGAAAGGAATCAAGCAAGTACTCAGGTAGTAGAGGAGCATGCCGTAGGAATGTAGTAGTAGTCTACCCGCTTTAGATGTAGAGCCCTGTAACGTAGTGTAGGGTGAATCATTTTTCTAGCATTGTGCTCTACTCTAGAGTAGAGTAGGTACACTCGCAGAGTACCGTCAGACAGACGGAGCCAACTGGGTGAATGCATGCGCGATAGAGTGCATACATACCTCACAACAGCCAGCCAGACGGAGAACAAAGTGCAATATGCAATGCACCTTTACTGAGCCTCTCAGCGGTGGAATTCTCAACTTACCCACCCAACCTTCCACCCCGGCCTCCCCAAAGAGGAACATTCTGTGACTCTGTCTGTCTCGATTTGCAAATCCAGCACCGTATTCAGACAGACAGACATTCATTTTTGCACTCTCTCTTCCTTTTCTTTCTTTCCTTCTCAATTCCGCCCCTGAAGATCAGATCGGAACAAGATGGCCGTCATATGGCGAGTCGCAACCTTAGACACGGGATAAGCGCTCCCCTTTTCGGACATTTTTTTAGCACTTTACACGTTGTTGCGACATTGAATCCTGCGTAGACAGATCAGAGTTCCAATTATCGTTTCCGCCATTCCCCTGCCAAGACAACCGTTTCTATTCTTGTCGACGGCGATTCCTGGGTCACGCTTGGCGGGTGCAAATACCAACGACACTGAATTCAGCCTCAGCCTTTCTCTCTCTTGCTTCGCTTTGCTGTCATGCCTCATCGGCCAGAGTAAAGTTTCCATAGCGTGCAGTTGCAGTACCAAGATATCTTGGTATTCTACATCTGTCACTTTGTGAAGGGCTGAAATTGATCGCTGCTGATCGCCAAGGTAAATAAGCGAACAATGCACGTGATTGGGGCGTTTGGACAAATGAGCGTTACGTGTGTGGCTTGCATAGGTACTGGGAGAAAGGTTAATACATGTAGGTATGGGAGGGGTGGGGTGGAATGGGGAGCTGGGGTAGGAGGTTGGGTGGTGTGAGTGGCTTGTTGGGCGGTGTGTCCATATCACACAATCGATTAGGTATGTGAATTAAGTCCGTAGCTAGTAATATTCACATACCTTTTTGTTTCCATGTGGTGAGAATCATTGACATGAAGTTACATATCGACTTGTCATCGGACAACAGCTCCTATCCCCAGTCGAGTAAGTTTCTTCCAAGCTCCACGGGGGCCAAATTGCCCAAGAACCACTATAAAGCTTGTCTTTACCCCGATATTCGGAGTTTGCTCGGAGATGCTAGGGAACGGGACCGTTGATGTAAGGGGGATAAGGCTCTTGGCAGGCTCACTAGTTATCTCCCGATCCCTTTTCGGTGTGCGCACTTAGAGGCTTTTACTACTTGTCACGTCTTGGTATTTGGATTCTGGTGATAGAGTGGGGGTTGGTTTGACGCAGTCCATTCCGTGGCTTACAAGGCACTTGCCTTGAACCCATGATGGCAGGGTCCTTGGATTCGATATATTCGTGCACGTGGTGTGTATGTGAGTAGATAGGGGAATCTCCGCATGAGAGGACAAAACACCGTTTGACTGTGGAGTAACAGACAGCTGCAGTGCCCCATAGTACACAGTCAATAATGGTTCAAGTGGTCGTGCGGTTCAGAGATTCAGGTTTGCTCCAAGATTTACATCTGGAGTACCTACGTAATTGATTCCCCCTTTTCCCGTGCAACTATGGTGGTAGAAGTGGTAGTATTTGTTTGTATGGAAGCCTTGATCGCCCCAGGGGAATGTGGTAGTGGTGGAGAAACCTGTGTGTGCGTCTATGCAGTGATGGGTTGGGCAAACGTACAGGAGCAGCCATAAACGTTACTTGTATGTATGTAGTATGATGGCTGACAACACCTGGTCACTCATGTGCCAATAACTACGGCGGTAAGTGTAATACTGGTATGTAAGACGAATCCTCTAGCTCTCAAAGCCAAGATGCTAGACTAGCACCCCGCTGCTTTTGTACTAGTCCTTGATCACAAAATATCACCCGAATCCACCATCCACACATCTCAGCGATCTTTGATACCCACCTAATTGATTGATTAGTTGGTACTTGTACTTCATTTTATTATTACAGCCCCGGGACTATAATAATACTGTAACAGTACAAGTAGTAACAGTAAGAAATAAGAAAACAGAACAAAAACAATACAGAAATCAAAGTAATGGCATAACACAAAAGCTTCCACCAAACTACGCAACCCCATAACTCAATTTGTCCAGTTACCCTTCTCACTCTTCTCAGATCGCTCTACCCCATCGACTTCAGCTATCTTAGTTCACTCAATTCGCCGCTTCCTTTCTATTCCCCTCGATTTCGTCATTTAAAAAACTGACCCCATTCCAAGGCTGTTGGGGTGCCATATATATAACATACTAGTTAGCGATGCGCGCAAAAGACGAAATATTAAGATGAAACTTGGCTTGATTTCATCTCGCCTTGGATCCGGAGTACTGAAAAAGTCTTGTTACTGAAGAGACCCGTGTGAGAAAAGAATCGTGATGGGCACGAGACAAGGCGAGACAAGCTTAAGATTTGGACAAGACTCGTCTCGTCTCGTCTCGTCCTGTTTTACGGAAGGCCCCGAGACTTAGTCTTGAGACAACTTGTATCCATCACTAGTACCAAGGTATTGCGCAAAGTTCCGAGACCATCAATCACTTGGTTCAATGTTACGTGATCCCAACAAAATAAGGGTTAGGGTTTGTGAAGATCTACTAACTACAAAACACTTCATTTTCAATATCTCGATACCTCCTCAAAAGATTCTCGAGACTATAATGGCTTGCCCAGCTCCTAGTCTCGTCTCGTCTGATATTGTCTAGAAAAAAACAGTGTCTCGAGACCTTTTGTTTCGTGCCCATCACTACATGTAATACTGGTCATTGGCACCTCATTGCAAATACCCCAAGCCGGCAAGCAAACAGGCTAGATATTTACAACTATAATAGAGTACAAAGAAGCTTGAGCGCAGAAAACCTAGTATACACCGCAAGAGAGTAGAAATTACAACTAATAACGTATTATTTACTGCCTCTTAGCTGGACATTTCTATCTTGACCATGCTTTAACCCACTGCTTCTTCTTCAGCTTCCCCAACACCTCCCCTTCCTTCCTCTTCTCATCCCCCTTTCCCTCCTTCCTATCCAAGCACCACTGACAATGCCCACATCCGCCCCTCCCCACCACCTCCCCATCCCCAAAATACCCCGCCAGCACGCCCACAAAGCACTCCCTCCCTGCCACCAGCTCCAACACCCTCTTCCGCCTCTCCATACTCCTCTTCTCATGCATCTTCACCACGTCATGCACCTTTCTCGCCACCTGATCAGCCTCTTCCTCCGTCCCCGGCAGCGCACGCAAAACCTCATATCGCGCCGCAACACCAAGACTATCGATCTCCACCACGCCCTCATGCTCCCACTGATGCAGTTGCCGCAGCAGCGTTTCCCGCCCCGCACCCACCTGCTCGGACACCCGCCGCAGGTCGAAGCTCCACAGCCCTCCACCTCCACCTTCACCTTCACCCTCGTCGGGGTCGCTACGCGACGACTCCTCCACGATGGCTATGGCCTTCTCGTCGTTAAGCTCCTGCAGGCGTGACAGCCCGCGATACAACACCTCGCCATACACCGTTGGCAGCGCCTTCACCACGTCGCACTCCATCTCGACCTTCATGAGCAGCGCCGTGACGGCCATTGTTGCGTCCTCCTTGGCGCGGATGACCTGTGGGAGGGGGAGCTTCTTCTTCTCTTTTTCCTCCTCCGCCTCCTTCTTCTTCTGCTTCTTGCGCTTCCTGGCCGGCGTGACGAGGACGCGGGCGAGTGCGTGCAGCGGGAGTGTGATGGTGGATGAGGGGGGCGCGGAGGAGGCGTGTGTGAGGAAAATGTGACGGAGGAGGCGGCGGATGCCGCTTTTGCGCGGCGTGAGGAGGGGGTTGACGGTGAGGAAGTCGTGGGTGCGGGTGTCGGTGGGGCCATGAGGATGAGGCATTTGCTGGGGCGGCCATCGCGGCCGGCACGGCCGATTTCCTGGCTAGGGAGAGTTAGCTTCGGAGGTGGGAATAGGGGAGGAAGAGAGAGGTACGCATAGTTCTCGATGGAGAGCGGGGGGCCGTAGTGGATGATGTTTCTGATATCGGGCTTGTTGATGCCGAGGCCGAAGGCGATTGTGGCAACGATCTGCGTGGGGTTAGTTGGAACCAGCCCTTCATATAATATGATACCCTACGGGCGATGGGATACGTACTGTGATGTTATTGCTCTTCATGAAGCGGTCCTGAGTGGCATTGCGGGTGGCCTTGTCCATACCGGCGTGGTAGGGGAAGGCCTCGATACCGGCATTCTCGAGAAGTCCTGCCACGACTTCAGCTGTCTAGTGTCAATTGTTAGTTGTTAACGGTATATATTGAATCCGGAACTTGGGCTGTGGGACGTACAGAGCGCTTCAGGGTGTAGACTATCGTTGCGCCGGGGTTCGAGTTGAGGAACTCGACGAGGTAGTCGAATCTGTCACGGCTCGTCTTGAAGGATTCGGAGAGAAGCTGTAGACTAGAAGTGGTATCAGAAATGATCGATATGCCAGAAAAACGAGACAATGGTAAGAATGAGAGATTGATAATTACTTTGGGCGATAAGTGCTCGTCCGAAACACCCCATCACTGGGAACCCCAAACGCCGTCGAGATGCTTTCTGTGATTTCCGGCGTAGCCTTGACATTTCCCCCATCATAGTTAGCACACCGATTATCGCAACCCTCTGTAATATCGCCCCGGTGGTGGTGGTGGGGAGGGTGATGCGGTGGTACCTATAGCCAGCAATCCCACGGAAACACTCACGGTAGCAGTAACGCAGAGAACCCTCTCTGCCTTGATCTCCTTGACGAACCGGGCCACTGCAATCGGTCATTACCCACATTAGCCCACCACACACCAACATCATGATCAGGGCGCAAAAGAGCGTTCGAACCTCGGAGATAGTCTGGCCTGAACGAGTTCCCCCACTCGTACACGCAGTGGGCCTCGTCGACTGCGATGAGCCGGACGGTAGTCTTCTGGAGAAGCTTTACGAAGGCGTCGTTGTTGAGGCGCTCGGGGGAGACATAGCTGCCAGGATAGATCTACAGTTAGCCCCCACTTTTCGATTCTCTTGACCGAGTGATATCTGTGAAGAAGGAGCAGAGCAGAGAAACCTACAGTAACCGCACCTCGTCGTTCTTCACGCGCTCAAACACAGCGCGCACCTCCTCCCGCTCCATCGTGCTGTCCACCGCCGAGGCGCCAATGCCCCTCCTCTGTAGATCCTGCACCTGGTCCTACACGCGCCGTCAGTCCCCCAACATGCGCCACCACTCCCACCAACCCCCAGATCTAGAGACATACCTTGATCAGCGCAATCAACGGACTCACCACCACCGTGACGCCACTCCCAAAGCCCAGCGCCGCAACCTGGTACAGCAGACTCTTCCCCGCGCCCGTCGGGAACACGGCCACCGCGCTGCCGCCGTGCAGCAGCCGCGCAATCACGGCCTCTTGCTCGGCGCGGAAGGACGTGTAGCCCCATGCGTCGTGGAGGATTTTGCGCGCGGCGGGGGAGGTGGTGGGGTACTGCACTCATGCACACATAGGTCAATTGTAATTCAACTGGAAGCTGGAGAGGGGAATTGAAGCACCTCCGACAGCTGCTCGACAGCTTCATCTTCCACCTCGACCGCCTGCGAAGTGGCAGCGGCGTAGCCCCGCGAGTGCTGGTATCTATCTGCCACCAGGGTTGGGCGATAAGGCTTCAGTAGCGGCGGTGTGTGCGGGGGCGCCGCAGAGGTCAATCGCAGGGCCCCGGTACTGCTGCGGGCGAGACTGCGCGACAAGAGACGGGAGGCCATCGATCGGGATATAGAGCACAGCTAGCAATTGCGGTGTTTGTGTGTGGGCGCGGTCGAGCGAGACATTGCAGACTTTGAATCTAGCTCAGAGAACGAGAGATACTGTTACGTGTGTGGCGCAGACAGCACGGGTGTGGCGCAGACAGCCACGGGTATGGCTTGGTAGGGTCAGGGTCGGGTCAGGGTCAGGGGTAATGATTTGGAGGGGAGATTTTCGGGTTTTGCTGCTAGGGCGTCTGGAGAGGGGGAGAGGGTGTTGGGGGAGAGCAGAGAGGGCAGAGAGAGAGATGTGGGGGAGCGAGTGGTGGTGCTGTTCTGTAGACGATGTGCGTGGGGAAGAGTTTTAGATTTTGAGGGCTCCCTCGGGATCGGGTTGGGATGTAGCCTTTCCAGATTAACTATAATTGAATGGATGAGAGGTCATGAGGTTTGACATCTCTGGCCTGGCAATGTTGTCTCGAGATATTGCTGACAGATGTAATTGAGCAAGTCCAGGGAGAATGTTTCAATCAAACGCCCAAAACAGCGAGAACAAACGAACTCGAGATCGACACACGTACACACGTACACACACACACACACACGTGTCTATGTCCCACCGCATTAAATCCCCCCGATGCCAGTCCCAAACACCCCATGGCCCATCGATCTCTCCGCCCAAGCCGCACACCCAGCGGCACAGTCACAGCGAGCACCCAGACCGAATGATATCTCATGACCCAACTCAACCACCCAAACCCAATGCTCTTTCCCCCCCACGCTGACTTGTACTGATACTTGCACCGAAGCTATATTAACACGTAATCTTAACTCACAAGGCTTTCCTTTCCTCCGATCCCTCTGTCGGCAGCCTTGCCCGAAAACAAAGACTTGAAACCGAGCGCCTGGATTCTTGTCCGCCGTCTGTGATTTGAAATGCGTGGCTGGTATGACGAGCTCTAGATTCGATTCTCTCTGTCTTGTCGTCTGGGCCTCGGTGTGTCGCGATATACCCCGCCGCAGAACTATATATCGAGGCATCATGTGAGGCCCCATCTTCTTATTTCCAGATCAGACCGGTAAAATGAAATTGGGGCCTGTGATCAGTTTGTGATTGAATTTTTCGTGAGCGGGTTTGTGTTGTTTTGGGGAACAAGAGGAGGAGGAGGAGGAGGAGCTCTGGATCGAGTGCCGCTGCATCGTATCACGATTCACGAGACGACTTGCTTCATCATGAAGAAAGCACAGACACCCCGCGTATAGTTGCAATTGCAGAAGACTCCCATTTCCCCGGCTTGAGGCGAGTGTTACGTGCGTAGCGTTATCGCTGGTGTTGTAACCTGGGATATATCGATCTGTCGCTTCTCACCTGAATCCAACGTGGGGGCGAATCTACTACTACAGTACGAAAAATGGGGATGTAACAGGTACTGTACCAATACAGAATTGTGCGAAAATTTCAAACTAAATCGGAATCCTAAATATTATACCGTGGCAATACCGCAACGGTACCGTAGCGTTGCGGTGTTTTGCCAGATATGGTACTGGATCCACCCACCTTTTTGGTACTGTAGCTGTCTACAGGACTTGGGAGGAATGGCCGGAGGACAATTCTGTATCTGGAGTACGTACAGAACTGCTGTTATAGGGGATAAATTGAATTAGGAGTTAAAGTTATAATTATGATTACCCCACCACCCACCTTTTTTTCTCTCTCGTATATACTCTACAGTTGATCCGGTCCGCGCACCAGTTCTGGATGAGTTAAACGGTCATGGTGCATACACAGACGCCTATATGAGAATTAAGGCCTCGTGTTGGCAATATTGTACATGTGCCCTTTCGGACGTCACCCCCCTAGAGTATATGTATCATTTGATATATGTCTACATAGGGCTTTTCGGAATAACTCCCTCTACTGATCCGCCAGAGTTTCGTTTCAGCATGTGCGGACAGCCACACTGCACAGTTCGTCTCGTCTTGGAGTACCAGCATGTGAATTATACTTGGATGTAAGAGTTTGAGGATAACGCACTCATGTCTCAATTATTTGCTCACAGCTAGCTAGTACTGCAGTACTACCTAGCACCAGCTACGTATAAACCTAACCCTGCTCTTCCCTGGGCTTTCTCTGCATGCAGGGATGGCTCTCTAGGCCCGAGTACCACTAATCCAGCACTGATCCAATCATCACCAGTGACCAGGCAAACATGCACTCAATTGCGAACACCCAGCCAGACATGCATATATATATACCAGTGCCAGATATATATAGGGCCGTGATAATATACCCACAGCTCCCTCATCAATCCGTGACAGCACCCACTCAATTCCCCGGACCGTCAAGCCCTCACTCCCACACCCCGGCCCATGATCTATACCATACCATAGCTATATCACACACCTCCAGCTACTGCTCTCTGCTAAACGTTCGGTTGCGGAAAAACGTTGATTCTCCGCTTAATTTAGCCATATTAAGGAAAAGGGGACAATATCAACTATCGGAACCAAGGCCCGGCGGGAGCGGACAGGGGAGGAGTCTATTAGCTAGGGACCTGGATTTATCCGCCAGGGAAGAAGCAGACAGCAACAGCAACGGCGTGTGAAAATAAGCTCAATGTGCTGGGGATCATCCGTGCGTGTTTAGATGAAATTTGCGGAGCCTTTCTTTCTTTTTTTTTCTTTTTTTCTTTTCGCGCTGCACTATACTATACTGGACTGGACTGCGCTGGACTGCACTACCACTGACAGTGATGAAACCGGTGATGGCCGTCCTCCGCCGATCGATATCTCGGCCTGAGCTACTACTTCCTTATGAAAAAGTGCTGGGGGGGGGTAGACTTGGACTCCGGCCGTTGGTTCGATCTGGATACATGCCATAGGCCTGGGATGGAGAGGAGAAGGAGGGGGCATTACGGATATTCAGTACCTACTAGCTACTTCCTAGCTGGAATCTCGTGGGGCTTCGATTAACACATGCTATATGGGGCTGGTGGGGGATATATAAAGGGTGCTTGGGAACTTCTTGGGAGGGAGTCTTGATTGTTGAGATATATCATCTTCGAGTGCGCTGGTTCTGAATATCGGATTGAATCCTTCTACACCGTAACAACTAACCCAACATGTTGGCCCCGTTGACTTTTGTTGCTTTGGCAATTATCGGCAGTGTTTCTGCACAGACTGCTGCTGGCTACCAGCAGTGCGGAGGTTAGTTGATCCTCACGATATATCACTCTTCTCTTATATTCTACTCCGTACTGACGATGTTATGCATCATCAGGAGTCAACTTCTCCGGCCCCACCGCCTGCGTGAGCGGATACCACTGCGAGAAGCTCAACGACTACTACTCCCAGTGCCTCCCCGGCAGCGCCTCAGGCACCACCTCCGTGGCCACCAGCTCGTCCACCACTACCACAAAGGCCTCCTCCACCACCACCGGCACCCCGACCACCATCACCACCTCCGCCGGCACCCCGACCACCATCACCACCTCCGCCGGCACCACCAGCGCCATTGCCAGCGCCACCGGAGCAGGGCCCGGCGCCACCCTCCTGCCAAACTACTACTGGATCCGCGCCGTCGTGGACCCAAACTTTCATAAGTACTTGCAATCCTCCACCCTCCGTACGGAATCCACTTAGAGCCACTCACCCACCCACCCACATCCACCCCTCTCTCCCCGCCCAGTCCCCACCCCCTGCGGTTATAGGACAGCAGTACTGACACATACCCAGGTACTGCGTCTGATGCCGTCCTTGAGGACGCCTCCACCGCCGGCCAGTTCAACATCGTCAACGGCCAGCTCGTGCAGCTCATCGACACCGCTGGCACCCTCCTGTACGCGCACGTCACGCCGCGCACCGACACCTCCGTCACCAAGCTCCTCGTCACGTGGGGGACCACGCCGGACACGTATGGCACGTGGGCGTTCTCAGGTTTGTCATTACCACTGCCACTGCTGCTGTCTCGTTTGCTCTTCTTGTCTGTAGTTATCTGTCCGTGGTCCGCGGGCTGATTGTGTGTGTCTGTGTGTGTTTGTTTGGGTGTGTGAAGGTGATACCACGACGTGGTCGACGCCGGGAATCACGAGGCAGAATAATGCGGCGTTCTTGGTCTGTGAGGAGCAGAGGGTGTATATCAACTTGGGCGCGTATGCGTATATGACGCCGGCGGGGTGCGCGGATCAGACGGTGAGTGGTTGTGCGGGTGGGCCGCGGTGGGCGGCGGTGGTGGTGGTGGGGGTGTGGGTGAATGTGACTGTGAGTGTGAGTGTGGTGCTGACGGGTGTGTGTGTGGGGACGTGTAGATTCATTATTATAATGGCGCGACGGCGAATGTTTAGATGGGGGGTTATCGTGTGGAGTGAGGCGGACGGTGGAGGGTAGAGGTGAGGTGAGGAAGGGTTGGAGGGGAAGGAGTGCAGAGAGGTGCAGAGTGTTGTTTAGTATAAAACAAAATATTATATATGCCCCCCGGGTGTGGCTGGCTGTTCTGGCGTGGTTGAGTGGTGTGAGTGACAACGTGATCATGATATCGGGATCTTGGTGTTGAGATTGGTACGCAGACCTCCGCAGAGAGTGACGAGATTTGATGACCATGGTTGTAAAAGGTCTTTATACGTTCTCGCGTACTTTAGATAACTGCTGCCATCGATCGTCTTGTATCTTGATGACCTCATAGGGACGTGGAAAGTCGTGATTGCGAATATGAATACAATATCACTCTTACTAGTATGTTTTACAGCTACACGTTTCTGTTCTTCCGTCAATTCTAAAATCTATGATAACCGGATGGCACTGCTTGCAGTCTAGCCGATGAGGAGCAAGAGGGAAAAATCTCGATTCATGTGCTCAAAAATCGACTCTCTCTCAAGCTCTCCAGTGACGCTCTCACACACTATGGCCGCGATACCTAATTAGAACACGAAACAAAAACGAAACAAAGCTCAGCACAAAGCTCAGCACAAATATGATCGTCAGGGCTAGGGTTGATATCGACATCTGAATATTTCTTGATATACATAATACGCCGGCGAGAATAAGTGCTCTAAAAGACTCGAAGTTTCTAAGTATATTAGTCGGGTCGGTTTGAATTGGGGGCGCTGGCTGACTTGCTGCGTTTCGTTGGTCTATGTGTTGTGGTGAGTGATAGTTCATGACGTAAGATACTTGGTCCTGATATCGTTCTTTTTATTTTGTGGGGTGTAGCTAGGGGTGTATGTTGGGTGGTGGAATTTTTCTATGAGTTTGGCTCTATTGATAGTGAGAGCACCAGTAGTGGATTCGTCTTTTGGTCTGTACGTGTCGGAAAATGATGCACATTCGTTGATATCTCAACTATGAGAGAATTACAATATAGTCTTCACACAACTCTGTTTTGAGGCGAGTTTTAAGTGTGCATGCGCGCATTCCTTTGCTATTATTACTTCTTTCGTTTCTCGACACTGTTTTAAACGACGTACCTAATGGTGACTTCTCTCCTGAATAATGGTTATTTTGGATTCAAGTAATATTACTAATTAAATGTATTACGGAGAAGTCCTACACTCGAAATTTGAAGTTAGGGAGCGCGTTGCGCTGTGTCAAAATATATATACTCCCATAGGCTTAAGATATAATGGTTGCTGGCCAATTGAATGGTTAAGGACCACACGTAGTCCGGTGGGCCGAACGTACCCTAATTGCCACTTAAGTAGCTGCGGGGGACCTTTTCGTATAAGGGATTACCCAGTAACTGACAAACCAGGCCGAGGATCCGCCGAACGTCGCCAGAGAACATTCTTCCAGATTGCATTTTATGCACGGAGCCGGTTTCCTCCGCGTTCTAGATCTTCCAAGCTTGCATCACAATCTTCAATCCTCATACATGTTTCAATTCGGTGAGGGTTATTGATTACCATAATGAAGTACGTATAAAACTAGGGGTGGGCCACCTCGCGACCGCGAGTTGTGTGCGCAATTTAGGCAGCTGAAATATTATATTAATTAAATAAATAAATAAATAAAAATAAAAATAAAAAAAATAAAAAAAATACTTGCAAGGTATTTAGGGTCCAAAAGAGTTACTGGTGCAACAAAGGTACTTGGCTTAATGGTAAATATCTGATACATGTCCTCAATGCTACGGGTTCAACTCATGGCGGGAGCGCGAGCTGTGCAATTCAGACGTTAGTTAGAGGATATGTGATTGATAACCCTATCATTATAGGGAAGAGGGTTGTCCACTTGGCAGACTGGTAGCAGTCAGAGATCCAAGAGTGTAATGCCCCGGTTATTTACTCCATCCGGCAGTCTGTGACAAAATTGATAAATTCACACGATCGTAGTCGGGGAATGGTGTAAATAACCGGGGTAACTTGATGCAGTTTTTTTCTACTAATCAAATGTTTTTTTAACAGCTTTTTATTACTCTATTACAAAAAAAACTATGCCAGAAACATCGATAAGACTGAGAATGATACAGATAAATGCAAGGAAAAATACACGCAAAAGAAATACAAAATGCTAACTAAATACAGTCCACCGCTTTTAATCCAACTCCAGTACCTCCCTGTTCCCCCCACCCTCCTACCAAGCCCCCTCTTCTCAGCTATTTTCTTTCCTCCACCATCCTGTACCGCACCATATCCTTCAAAATTTCCATCTCTTTTTCCCACCGGCAAATCCACCAGTCTATCTCCTTTCCTTCCTCCCCTAATCCTTTCCACCTCATCCAAAATTCTTTTAACCTACACGTTTAGTTAGCAATTTCATTACGTACATTTTTGAAATATATAGTTACCATTTGATACTCATTCCTCCTGCATTCCCATTCCCATATCCTAGACCCAATACCGTAACTCACCCTCTCACTTTCCCTTACGAAGGACCTATAACAGGTATTAGTAACAAAAACCTATCTCCCAACTCGCAACACTTACTTATCATCTCTTCACAAATTCATTTTCCAACTCCTGCACCCATAATCCCCGAATCCTCCACCCGGCTGCAGCAAATGTTCTTTAGCCTATAAGTAACAGTCAGTAGTAATACAAACATGGAGCAAGGGGACTTACTTATCTACAGCAGCACTTCACGGTATACAATGTTGTCCGTTTGTGGTGGCGTCTCATCCCGTTGAAGCACCATCAAGCCAGCTACAGCTGTAACTCTTGAGAGCGCTACATAGAGCTACCCGTTAGTGAAGGAATCAGACCTCAAGTCAACACCAACAACATCCAGTGATTGACCCTGCGATTTATTGACAGTCATTGCAAAGCATAGCCGAATGGGCAACTGTCTCCTCATTAATGTGAAGGGTAAATCTCCCTCAGTGGACGATAGCTGTATACGTGGTATAACTTTTGGCTCCCCATCAAACTCACCACTCAGAATCTTGGCTTCGATGCACCGGACACCCAGTTTAGTTACCATCATTCTTGTACCATTGCAGAGACCTTGCTTTGGAAATAGATTTCGTAGAAGAATTATTGGTGCTCCCACCTTTAGTTTGATAATTGACGGTGGGAGGCCAGATGGATTCAGACCCTGCAGATATTCCGGAGGTAAGAGGTTTGCATTCTCTTCTGAATTTCCGCTGTCAACGGTATCTGCTGAATAGTACGTATGCACCTCGCCTTGAATTTGCTGTAGAACTCTATCATTGAACTCGGCGACTGTATCGTTTCTCATCGCCAGAATCGCCCGCTTGGAGAATGCGGTGTAGTTGGTCGGGGCTGATTCAATTATATGCTGCGGGAATACATGCATACAAATGTCCTCAATTGTTTTACAGCTCTGGATGTATGGTGGCAGAGTTATTCTGCCATACCATCGGGAATCATGGCTCATCTGCTCAAGCCAAGCCACGAACTCCTCATTTTCAAAGCCATTGCGGACCCGCATATTGATTTTGAGTCTTAATATTTTGAAGTGCTGCGATAAAGAAGATCGTTCTAGGCATGCCTGCACTATCTGAGCCCGATTACCGCATTGCACAACTGGTAAAATCTGTGCAAAATCCCCTCCGAGTACAACTGGAATATTTCCAAACAGGCAATTATCTCCCACACCACATATATCATTCAGGGTCCGGCTGACCGCTTCAAAGCAATACTTATTCTGCATGGGTACCTCATCCCATATAATCAGCGCGGTCTTTTGAATTAAACCGGCCAACAGGCTGCCACGTTTTATGTCACACGTTGATCCCTCATGGATAGCAATTGGAATTTTGAACCTGGAATGGGATGTTCTGCCCCCCGGGAGCAATTGTGCCGCAATGCCAGAAGAGGCAACACAAAGCACAATCTTACCCTCTGAGCGGAAATGATTGCAGATGACGTTGTACAGGAATGTTTTTCCTGTACCTGCTGGGCCTTGAATGAAGAATAGGGCTGACGTAAGTTCTTCAACACTGTGTGTAATAGTATTAAAGCATTCCAACTGATCCGAATTGAGTTGTGCGAACCTCAGTTGTAGGCTTGCTGCTTCTGCAATGATATCGTATCTGAGCTCTGATGCAACCATCTCATTCCCACCTGTTCGGTCCCAATCCACTGTGTACAGGGGCAATCCAAAGTCGTTAAGCGTTCTGTTGGAGTCGGCAAGAATCTGTGATATCAGGTAGAGGCCATAGTCCAGGTGGGCATCTGGAAGTTCGGGAGGTATAATGAGACCTGTGTTCCTTTCCATAGCTCGGGGTAAGTCATCGCAGATATTTGACTTGAATCTTTCCCATAATTGTAGAGGTTCGGTGACGTTGCCAAACAGCAAAGCAGTCGTGAATAGTGTACGGAGGGAATATCCGCTCGAGAATATGCTCGCTTCAGTAAAGCACTGCACCCACTCTTGATCATCGTCCAATAAGCCAAGGGCAATGCACGCAGCCTTGAATGTAGGATGCAGCACATTATTGACAGTTTTCAGATAATCAAAAGATTTTGCGCCAGGGATCACGGTTAACAGTAGACGCATATAGTATTTCTCCCCCATCATAGGATTGCAATGCCACATACGTCCAATAGCCACACATTTCTTCCTGGATGCCCACTTACGCGATTTAGCGTCATAGGTAAAATGCACCGGAAAATCTTGATAGAGATACTGTGCACCATCCTCTGCTTCTGCATTGTATTCAAAGTATGCCATCAGTGTAGTTCTCAAGTTTTACATCCTCTGTATCATTTCGTCCCGGTTGGAGTTATCCCTATGGTATGCCGGTTGCTCGCCAGGCAAGTGAACAGCCAAGTGAATGACCGACGGGTATTCTTCGTGTATCCCGTATTCGAACAAACGCCACACGGCCTCAGTGGGTCCTATATAACGTCCTTGGAGGTATCTACTAATCTCATCCAAGTCACTACCGATTTGGAGTGTTGTCCGATCTGAACCCTTATATATATACTTGTGTATATATTTTATCGCGTTGATTGACCCACAGATCTCGACATTTATATGCGCTTTATACCTTAAAAACAGATATGGATTATATGGAACCTCCCATCTGTTATCCATCCGATACTCTTGATTGAACCCCGAACCCCTTATTGCCACTGAAAAGGTTCTGCCATCATTACGTCTCCTGTACAGTGGATAGTGTAGAAATAGGGCATTGCGACATCGGTTATGTATGGAATTACTCATGTATAAGGGATGACTCATAGAAGGAACAGGGATTCAGACAAGGCTTAGTGTCAGGGATTATGTAATCAGGGGATCACGTGTTATTAGAATATCTGTATATATAGAGCGCTCAAACACCCACATTGTCGCTGGAACTTCAGCGGCGCAATAGTATCTTCTTCGCACTACAAAACACATCCTCCCTCAAGGTCACGTGTTCAAACCACATTCAAGTCATTTTCTCCCACACTACAAACTTCAGGTTATGAGCCCGGGTTCTGCCAAATAAAATCCGCACAACACTCGCCACATTCGGTTAACTCAATTACACTTCATACAACATCATGTCTGACGCTGGTGAATCATCCAAGGCCGTGGAGGTTAAATCCTCAGACAACACGAGTCCCAGTAACATTCGGATCAAGTTTGATGGACTCCCAAAATTAAAGGGACAATCCAACTACCAAACTTGGGCGTCTGCCTGGAGGATTACATTCGATGCAGCAGACTGGTGGGAAGCATTGAGCATCGAAAACCCCTCAGAAGATGACACAGACCTCACCAAGGCCGAAATCAAAAAGGCCCGAAAACAAATGCACAGCCTTCTCATCGGAGCTGTAGCCGAAGACATACAACCAACAGTCGTCTCCGCCGAAAATGCATACCACGCATGGAAGGCGCTCAAAGACCTCTACGATCGCGTATCACCAAACACGACGATCACCCTCCTCAGCCGTGTTCTAAACACGAAGATGCAAGACAACGGTAACTTAACCGAGCATCTCGAGACCTTCAACACGAACTGGAACACTCTCAAAACCAGGTGTCAGAGCGGCGACCACAAACTCGCTCAGGCCCTGCTACCCCTCACCAAATCCAACGAAGCAATGGCAGCATTCCTACTTGCCTCACTGCCGAAGTCGATGAGCAACGTCGTCGATAACATCCAGACCAAACAGGATGTTACATACGAAGATGTACGCCAACGGCTACAAAACCTACAAGAGGAAACCCCTCTCACTGGCAACAACAGGGTACTTCATACCAGGAGTACCCCAACACCAAACGGCAAGGAATGCACCTGGTGCAAGAAACGGAATAACCCGTACCAGGGCCACGAGTACAAGGAGTGTAGAAAGCTCAAAGAACAGAACAAGACAAGGGATTCAAACAGAAGGAGACCAGGCAGAGATAACTCAGCGTCGGTAGTTATCAACGAATCATCCACAACAGTATGCATGGTACGCACCGATACTTCACCCTCTCTGCCCCTTACCTGGATCCTTGATTCTGGAGCTACTTCTCACGTAACACCTTTCAAAGACCAACTCTTCAACATCCGTCCTCACACCAGCACAGTCCGAACAGCCGACGGCACCATTCACGCTGTCACCGGATTGGGAAGCGCTAGTTTCGAATGCTACCTTCCCAATGGAGATAGATCCACCGTTGTTCTCACCGACGTGCTGCTGGTCCCAACCATGGAAAATGTGGGATTGGTCTCAGAAACCGTACTCGACGAAAAGGGGTTTAGAACAGAGTCAGGAGGAGGAAACAAATTGGTCACGAAAGAAAAGAAAGGAATAATTTGGGCGAAATTGGATAAGGGACTTTGGAATGTACAAGTAGTTAGCAATACAGTTCGCTTGACCACTTACTCTGAATGGCATCAAGCACTAGGCCACCCTGCGACACTAGAAAACTTGTACGAAGACATCCATAAGCTACCCCCCAAACCAGAAACATTCCATTGCAGTCAATGCACACTATCAAAAAGTTTGCACAAGAAACCTGCACCAATTAGTACAAGATCCCAGCGAGCATTCGAACTAATCCACTCTGACCTATCTGGAAAATTCGGCACAAAATCGCAAGGAAAAGCCCTGTACTATATGTCCTTCATTGACGACTATACCCGCTTCGCCTGGATATATCTGCTAAAACAGAAAGACGATGCGATAAAAGCCATCAAAGACTACGTCACGAAAATCGAGAAACAGTATAATACAACAATACTGAGATTTAGAACGGACGGTGGTGGTGAATACGTCAACAAAGACACAATGGATTACTTCAACCTACAAGGAATAGTCCACGAACAGACTCCCCCATACACTCCTGAATCAAATGGAGTTGCAGAACGATTCAACAGGACGATAACAACAATGGTCAGGTGCATGATCATGGACCATCCTAAATCGTTATGGGGTGAAGCATACTCAACCGCTGTCTACCTCAAAAATAGGCTACCCCACAGTACGCTAAAGGGAAAGACCCCCTTCGAAGCCCTGAAAGGTTCAAAGCCGAGTATCCAACATCTTCAACCATTCGGAAAGAAATGCTATGTCCACATCCCAGAAAACTCTAGGCCAGCAGGAAGCAAACTAGCACCCCGAGCACACGAAGGAATCATCGTCGGATACTCAGACAGTACCAAACATTACCGCACCTGGATAGGATCACAAAATAGGTTAGTTGTAAGTCGAGATGTCACATTCCCCCCTCCTGAATCAGGGGAAGTCTCCGTGGAACTCGACTACACCCCTATCCTGAAACCAGAAGCGGCACCTGCACCGACAGACGACGGATATGAATCAGAAGACAGGCCTGATCAAGAACCCGAATCGTCAGCACTCGAAGAAGACCTTGAAACAGACGCAAGTAGACTGGGGGCCGGGCTTACGAGGCCCACTCCTGGACGTCACCTCGAACAAAGTAATAAACAGGAAGCTAATCAGGAAAACACAGAAACACCTCCCCCGGAACCACCAAGGAAATCGAAACCTTGGAAACCAACAACCGAAAAGGAGAAAGAATCTGAAGTCCCGCATCCTGTCACAACAAGAAGATCGAATCGCATCCGTGAAAGAACGGAGAAAACAAGCAGCACTTGATATCGAAGGGAAAAGGAAGGAAATCCGACTGAAAATATCGGAATTAGGAACCACCTATGACAAGGAGGTATCAGAGATTCTAGCCGATGAAGATATGGACGAACAAACCAAGCAACTAGCAATGGAAGCAGCCAGTCTAGACCACAAAAAGGACAAAGCAAAGCTCCAAAGCCAGTACGACAACCTGGATTCCACCATACATCGGGTACACCTAGTAACTGAACCTACCACCTTCAATCAAGCAATGAAAAGCGATGATCAACACCTATGGAAGAAGGCAATACAGACAGAGAAAGACGCCCTCGACAAGGCCCACACCTGGGACATTGTCGACAGACCAACCAACCGAGCAGTAGTCAGAGGAAAATGGGTATTTAAGGTAAAACACAACGCGGACGGAACAATCGAAAGATACAAAGCTAGATACGTCGCCAAAGGCTTCACCCAAGTACAGTATCAAGACTATGATGAAACCTTCGCCCCCGTTGCCCGATACGATTCCCTAAGACTCCTACTTGCACTAGCCGCACACAACGGTTGGATACCACAACAAATGGACGTCAAGTCAGCCTTCCTATATGGTATACTTAAGGAGGAAATCTACATGGAACTACCTGAAGGCTACAGGCAGGACCACAAGGTTTGTAAACTTCGAAAATGCATATATGGACTAAAACAATCACCCCGTGAATGGTACGCTTGCCTAGCAGACTCCCTTCAACGGAAAGGATTTGTCCCAGCCAAATTCGACCCATGTGTCTTCATACATAAGAAACACCAACTATACATATCGGTGTATGTTGACGACATCATGATATTCGGACCCGACTCCCCATTCAGAAACGAAATCAGACAACTACTTAAGGCAGATTTCGAATGTACGGATCTCGGTAATGCGAAATTCCTACTGGGAATAGAAATACCGGTATCAAAGAACGGTATCACGTTGTCACAACTAGCATACATCAACAAAATCCTAGACAAATTTGGAATGAATAACTGCAAACCAGTTGGGACACCACTCGAACCAAATCTGAGTCTTCGTAAAGGAGAACCAGAAGATCAAATCGAGAAACCAACTGAGTATCAATCCATAATTGGATCACTCATGTACGCCAGCATAGCAACCAGACCTGATATCACCCATACCATTACTGCCCTCTCTCAGTACTCCTCATGCCCAACTGAGGACCACCTACGAGCAGCCAAACGAACTCTCCGATACCTCAACGGAACCAAAGACTGGAACCTGTTCTACCCGAAAGGAAACACTAGAACACTCGATAGTTTCTCAGACAGTTCCTACGCTTCAGACTTAGATGACAGAAAATCGTTCTCAGGATACGTGTTCAGACTAGGAAAATCAGCCATAAGCTGGAGAAGCCGGAAGCAGAAATCAGTCGCAGTCTCAACAACAGAAGCCGAATATATGGCTCTGTCCCTAACAGCTCGACAACTGGTATGGATTCGCAACGCCTTATGCGAACTCCAACAACAATACCAATACAACATCCACGCCGACAACACAGGGTCCATCGAACTCTGTCGGAACCCACGTATCCACGACCGGTCCAAACACATCGACGTTCACTATCACTACACATGTGAACAACTCGAAGCCGAAACCTTCAAACTCCTCTATGTCCCAACCGAAGACAATGTTGCAGACATAATGACCAAAGGACTACCGAAACCAGCTCACCAAAAATTGTCAGAATTGATACGATGTGGCAAGTGAGGGGAAGTGTAGAAATAGGGCATTGCGACATCGGTTATGTATGGAATTACTCATGTATAAGGGATGACTCATAGAAGGAACAGGGATTCAGACAAGGCTTAGTGTCAGGGATTATGTAATCAGGGGATCACGTGGTATTAGAATATCTGTATATATAGAGCGCTCAAACACCCACATTGTCGCTGGAACTTCAGCGGCGCAATAGTATCTTCTTCGCACTACAAAACACATCCTCCCTCAAGGTCACGTGTTCAAACCACATTCAAGTCATTTTCTCCCACACTACAAACTTCAGATAGCCATCCTCTTGTACAACTGTTTCTGATTGATAGGCCTTGGGGTAACGTTTGGAACATGAAGTTGGTCCCCCATTCTCCTTTGAAGCCATGCAGGGTGATCGCATATTGGCCTCTCCACATGGACCGTGTACCATGCAACTTTTAATGATTGCATTGAGTTCCCCCGTAGGATCAGTCGCGGGGTCCGGTAATCCTGCGTACACAATTTCGTCGATTCTCTCTGCTGTCAGAAAGCGATCATCTGGATGAAGGAATATCAGTAGATGCATGTGTGGCAGCCCTCTTTTCTGGTACTCGATGGTCCATACAGACCCAAGATAGCGACCAAAGATTTGTTTACGCTTTATTTCTTGGAGGAGGAGTTGTTGCTTGAGATGGAACACTCTCGCAACTAAATCTGGCCTATCAACAGCAGTTTGCCCCGGTAGAAACTCCGCAGTAATCTCTTCCCACTTTGGATTCGCAGTAAAGGTAACAAATAGTGAGGGACGCCCAAATTGGCGGACTATAGCCATGGAATCCTGGAACAACTGCAGCATGAATCGGTCGCCCCCTGTATAACTTCGTGATAGGATGATACGCTTCCCAGTCTGTTCCGGGTTAAAGTCCTCTTGCCGCATATTATCCGCCAACCCATTATACAGATCAGCCCGAATATTTGCCTGATTCAGTCGAAGCCAATTCAACTTATTCTGATCACAAATAGCCCAAGCATCTACCAAATACTGCTGAAATAAGCGTTGAGAGAAGAACAAAGTCATGGGTTCAGTCACCCTGGTATGCAGTCGGTATCTGCTGTAACAGAGCCACAGTAGGGCTGTTACAAAAGTAACTGTTCTACCAGTCAAGCCATACGACCCTAGGGTAATCACCACTTGTTCTTCATCGATGGGTGAAGATAAGGGCAGATGACCCCTACCTCTATTGGTATGAAGGGTAGGGATCCTGGCGAGCAAGAAGTCTTATAAGTCAAGCTAGGCGACTGGACCAAAACTAGAGCAGAAGGACGAGCATGCCAAATACGGAAGGGTAACCCCAAACATAAGTTACCCTACCTTGGAAGTCAACCTTTGAGGTGCAATAACTTAGCAACCGATGCTCGGAAAATATGCTTTACCACGTCAGGAAGGATCCTGACGATGCTCCGGTCCATTTGGGGTGGTTGAATGAACGGATTGCGGAGTTGAGGAAACACTGCAAAATAAACACGTTTTAGACCCCAAAAATAACCCCCGGAGCGTCGAACCGCCGGAACCCTCCTGTTTCAGCCCGGAGCACCTTTGAGGGGGAGTAGGAGTACGACCCAAGCTACTAAAAGCAAACCTCGCTTTACAAAAACACCAAATCTGTTCTAAAAACAAATTGAATAAGCAATTGCTATCTGGTCGGTTGTTTCCGCTAGTTCTTAGGATCCCGACCAGCTCTTGGCAGAGATTGCGTGATTTGACTCGGGCGGAAGTTCGTCCGAGGGGTGGCAGCAACTCCTCTCGCCCCTCATAGAAAAAAGTCGCGGTGTCCCCGGACTAGGGGGAAAAACGAAGGGTCTAGGGAGAAAAAAGGCGGGAAAAAAGGGGGCGAAACTTCGATAAAAGTACTCGGTTGCCCCCCAGTTTGAACTCGGGGAGGGATGGAATCTTTACTAGCGAGGAGACCCCTTAAAGTTATTAAGTTTTTAGACCACAAATACGATCAAACAAATAAACTCCATCTTTCGATCGAACGAGCCCAATGAATCCATCGTTGCCCGTTTACCCTTTCTATGTCAGATCGAAGTCACGGTCGTGTATCATCCTAGCACCCCCGTTACAGTATAACTTTAAGCTCCTCGCTTAAAGAACCCCGACGAAAGGAAAAAATTTTACCGGAACATCTGGGACCACTCTCAACGCTGAAATAACCAAGCAGTTAGCTTTTTTTTTTTTTATTCAGCTCGGGCTGGCATGGGAGAGGCGAACACGTTACTATGGTCTCCATTGTATCCGTCAAAGAGTTATAGCGCCCACATTCGCTCAAAGGGATATAGCGCCCAGCTTCGCTCGAAAGGAGACCACATCTAGGACCGCTCCTAGAAAATCCTGATAGCCCCATTGGTCAAAGGACCCCATTTCCCATCTGGGCCCCAGTCCCAACCAAAGTCAATGTCCCGCCATCCACGATGACGACAGGCAGGGTCCGGAAGAGGAGGATAACTGGCTTTCTTCTGGCGCCACCATGCCTCGTAATGCGCTTCGGAGTGCCAGTTTCTGTCTCTCATTCCGCTCTTCTTGTGCCACTCTCTGCCGCATCCACTCCGCTCCCCTCCCATCTCGCTCAATCTCCTCCCGCATCCACCGCACCTGTTCCCGTTTCTCCCTTGCTGCTGCACGGACACGAGCCTGACCAACACTCCTGTCCCCTTGTTGGAAGAAGGGATAAGGACGATGGAAATCCTCCCGAGTCAGAAACGGAACCTGGTTGAAATGGCCGTCGAAGGTCCGAGGTCTCCAAACCTCGAGGAACAGCTTGTCTGTGGAAACATTATCGGGAGTAAGAGGAGGTTACAAGCCCCACTGAACCATGCCCACCTCACAGCACTCCGTGATCGGACAGATTTCCGAGCAACTCTCCGAGCATATACAGAGTTACCACCATCCAACTCTTGGAGATCGGTAAAAACCGGACATGTTGAGGATCTAAGCCTCGTCTCCCGGCGAGATCGGACTAGCGTTAGATAAAAGCGCTTGTACGATAGACGAATTGACCGCGATGAACAAAGAGAGGAATAGAATAAAGAAAAGCATTGTTGCTGAGAAGATGTGATAAATTTGGTGTTGTGTGTGGAAAGATCGAACTCCCTGGAGTGTAGAATGAATAGAGGAAAAGGAACTCTTACCCTCCGAGGTTCAACGGATACCCCGCTTTTATAAGCGAACTCCTATTCCAGTTCCGACAATCAGCGTGGTTAGCCGAAGGAGGAGTCCGGTCCGGCTTTAACCGAACCCGGCATTAACCGAGGGAAGAGACAAGGACACCGAGTTTACATGGTCCGAGGAATGCGCGCGTGCGTTCTAAGTCCTGAAAGAGGCCTTCCAACCCGCCCCCGTATTAGCCCACTTTGACGCCGAGCTAGCCACCAAGGTTGAGACCGATGCCTCCAACTTCGCCAAATCTAGCATACTGTCCAAAATCCACCGAGAAGACAACAAGTGGCATCCAGGAGTCTTTTACTCCAAAAAGAAGTCGTAAGCCGAACGGAATTATGACGCTCACGACAAGGAGCTAGGTGCCATTGTGTCATACTTCAACGAGCAAAGTCACTTAGGAGGAACCTCCAGCCGGAGGGAAACCCCGGTGGAGAAAACCAGAACCCAGAACCAGCGGGTAATGGTGGAGGAAATGGAATAGTCCCACCAGTTGGTGGCGCTCCCGACCCAGGAAAGGACTCAGATAGTTCGAACTTAGCCGGAGGGTGGAGATAGGGGAGGTTGGCGGAGATACCTCATGAAGATGCTGGAGAAGCAGTAGAGAGAGAGAGCCCTGGCCTCCATAGCCCAGTTCATGAGACCTCCAGTGGCCGAGAACCAAAGACACCTCCCTCCGGCCAAGTTCAATGGCAAAGCAAACAATGTGCGGACCTTCATCGGGCAATTTGAGAATATCTTCTCCATTGAAAGCCAGTCCTTTACCTCCGAAGAGGTTAGGATCCCGATATGCTGGTAACCTGATGGAAGGAGATGCCCCGGTCAAGCAGTATGAGGCTTACCACAACTCCATTGACCAAGCTTCTGCCAACCAGATAGCTGGGATGTCTGTGGTGTGAGATGAGCGATGGAAGCGCTGGGATTTCTTTGTGGATGCTCTCAGAGCAGCCTTTGGCGGAGCCATCTCTAGGGATGATGCTGTAGCCCAATGGAATACCCTTACCCACACAGCCTAGGGGGGAATAGACTCCTTCCCAAATAGCATCATTCATTTGATATGCAAGACTGGCTATGAGGGTCAGTTAGTGAATGATAAGATCCTCAGTTCCCTCCTTCCGGACCTAGGCACGAGTTGTGCTCTCTTTACCCCGTTACACTCTGGGCTTCCTCCAGCCTGGGTTTGCCAAGGGTTTATCCCCGGAATCCGACAGAGCAAAAGGCACTGAAACCGAGATAAGCTCGAGGGGCGGCCTACCTCGCAGTGTTTGGCTTCAAAATTGTATACCGCCCTGGAAAACTAAAACGCCAGAGCAGACATCTTGTCGCGGCGTTGGGACCACGCCCTTAAAGAGGGGGGTAAGGCTCATCAAGACCTGAAATTCGCTTGTTTAAGCCAGGACAACTTTATAATGGGTTCTGTCCAATACCCGATCGTTATGATCAACTCAGCATGGACAAGAGCAGCCCAAGTCTGCAAAACTCACACCGGTGCTCCCGGATGAAATCTAGGCTCGAGCAGCCTTAGATCCAGGGTACCTTTCCTTGAGAAAAGCCATTGAGAACACCTCCGGGAATCTGGTGAACCGAGACCTCACTTTAAAGGATGGAGACGTCTTCTATAAGGAAAAGTGGTACATTCCAAATCATCGAGAACTGGAGCTCAAGATCCTGAGCGCCCTACATAATTCGAAGACTGCTGGTCACTTTGAACAATTCAAAACGGCAGAACGCCTTCAGGCACTCTCCTTTGGCTAAAGATGGACAACAATGTGGAAGAATACGTTCGGAGTTGCGATACATGTCAACGCGTTAAGGCCTCAACACACAAGAAGTATGGGACGTTGCAATCTTTAGAGGTCCCCTCTATGCCTTGGAGCTCCATTTCAATGGACTTTATCGCAAGCCTGACTGAATCTGAGGGCTATACCCATAACTGGGTTATCGTTGACCGTTTTCACCAAAATGTCCCAATTCATTCCGCTCGAGACCAAAGCAACCATTCAAGAGCTTGCTCAAACGTTCCTATGGGAGATATGCCGACTGCATGAATTTCCTGAGGAAATTATCTCCGATCGGGACTCTAGATTTGGAAGAGATCGTCCTCAAACTGACGGACAAACTGAGAGAGTCAACCAAACGCTAGAACAATATCTCAGAAACTATTGCTTCTATCAGCAGGACGATGGGGCAAGAATACTCCCATTTGCGAGTAAGCCTACAACACGGCCACCCAAAAGTCAACCAAAGTATTGCCGTTCTACGCGAACTATGGGTTTCAACCAAATTCCACTTGGCCCTCACCTAAACGGAAACTAGAAAACTTCGACGCGCCCAGCGCGGCGCAAGCACAGCGGAAGAAATGGTATGATCAGAAACATATGAGTGCACCAGAACTGAAGGTCAGGGATGAGGTGATGATGGACCGACACCACATCTTAACCAAGCGATCATCAAATTAATTAGATTACTAAAATCGGGTCCCTTTCAGGTTGTCGGGAAACTTGGTGTCACGTCCTACAGGCTGAATCTACCCTCTCAGTAGAACATTCATGATGTTTTCCATATATCTCTGCTGGAACCGTATTGG